ACTATCACTTCCTCGTCGATCAGAATGTATACACTATCTTTTCTCAGCTTCGCTTCGGAAAGATAGCTACATCCAGATTGCCTCGGAAGTGATAGTTTGTCCCATCACCTTCACCAACGGTAATTATTTGCTTAATATATATTCAATCTCAGAAATGAAATTACAAAAAAAAAATGAAATACATTTTCTTTGAATTTGTGTTACTCATTCAGATACTACTGTTTGATGCTTTATTATCCCCTCGCCGACGAAGTCGGAGGGGATATAGAAACGCTGCTGTCCGTGCATCCGTCAGTCCATAACAAATTTGGTTTCCGATCGATAACTTCAGTAATGTTTGACGGATTTTAATTAAGTTTGATATGAAGGTACAATATGATATCAAAATACAGGCTAAGCTTGATTTTGGAGTACGTAGGTCAAAGGTCAAAAGTCATAGCTCATTAAATATGCGAAAAATACACATCTGGTTTCCGATCGATAACTTTAGTTATGGCACTACCTCCTCTTGATCGCAATGCACTGCCAGCATTTCTTCCTGCCCCGCGACCACTTCCTGTAATTGAAGCTCACCAGGTCTATCAGAAGCTTAGGAATATCAACCCCTCTAAGGCTTCGTACAAGGATGACCTTCCGGCAAGACTCATTCGAGAATTTGCACCTGAACTAGCTGATCCTCTTGCTCGTATATTTAATGAGTGCCTACAATCCGGCGTTTTCCCCGACCAGTGGAAGCTATCCAACATAGTGCCCATTCCCAAGGTGAAACCATGCCAGTCTTTCGACCAATTACGACCGATTTCTCTAACACCTATCTTTGCTAAGATCTTTGAAACCTTCCTTTCAAGTTGGATTACCCGCGACATCAGTCACAAGTTAGACAGTCAACAGTATGGAAATATTAGGAACTCATCGACCACTCACTACCTTGTGAGTCTTGTGGACACTATCTTAAAAGGAACTGATAAGCCTGGCCATGTTGCATCACTATGTGCCATTGATTATGCCAAAGCTTTTGATCATATTGATCACAATGTTGTTGTTAGGAAACTTATCCAACTTGGTGTAGACCTATCACTTATTCCAGTCATTTGTAGTTACCTTGAATGTAGATCACACTGTGTTATCGGTCCTATTGTCTCTAATTTCTCTAATGTGACATGTGGAGCCCCCCAAGGCAGTAGCCTCGGCCCGGTCCTTTTCTTAGTCATGATTAATGATGCTGCCTCTGATACACAACTAAGATGGAAATATGTAGATGATCTCACAATTGCAGAAGTTAGGAAACATTCCCAACCTTCTAACATCCAATCAGTAATCAACAATCTCTCTACTTGGTCTACTGATAATAGCATGACCCCTAAACCTGAGAAATGTAAGATAATGAATGTTTCATTCCTGAAAAGACCTACTGTATTTCCGAACTTTCACCTTGGTGCAACCACTCTTGAATGTGTAGATACTCTCAAACTATTGGGTGTTATTGTACAAGCTAACATGAAATGGGACATGCAAACTTCTCACATGACCAGTGTAGCTGCTAAACGACTATATATGCTATGTATGTACTCAACAAGTACAAAGCCCCTGTCTGCGACTTGCTATCGGTCTACCTGATGTATATCAGGCCACTACTGGAGTATGCCTCCCCTGTGTGGTCTCCAGCTTTCACAGTACAGCAATCTAACCAAATTGAGCGCATACAAAAACGTGCGTGTAGAATTATCATTGGCTACCACAATTACACAGACTATGCAAATGCTCTCGAGTTTCTTAACATCATATCACTTGAGCACCGTCGAAAACAATTATTTGAGAAGTTTGCTAAGTCCATCATAAGCTCTAGGCACAGTTCGATGCTCCCACCTCTCCGAAGCACCCTACCTAATTATCGTCCCCTAAGATCGAAGGATGGGTTTCTAGAACCGATGTGTCGTACCCAACGCTATGAAAAGTCTCCTCTACCCCAAGTCATTAAGACTCTCAATAACCTAATGTGAATTCCAAAAAATTGAATTGTATTTCATGTACCGGTACTCTTTAGATCTGAAACAACGTGCAATACTTCATTAAAAGCTGTATTTTCTTATACATGATTCATAATATTGAAGATTTGCAGGTTTTTCCCATTAATAGAGGTGTCAACTTTTCCAGACAATTAACTTCACATGTTGTGAATCTTTAGACCTGATACATGTACAAGGTGCAATACTTTATTATAGCCGTATTTTTTGATTTGTTAAATTGAAGATATGCGGGTTTTCCATTAATAGAGGTGTCAACTTAGCAATTAGCTTCACATGTTGTGACTCTTTAGAACCACTACAAGGTGCAATACTTTATTATAGCTGTATTTTTCTAATCCAGAATATTGAAGAAGTGCGGGTTTTGCCATTAATTAATAGAGGTGTCAACTCTTTAACAATTAGCTTTACATGTTTTGCACAACATTGTCGGGAAGGGTATTGATTATATTTTGCTATTTACTGCCAAATTGCCTGTACATTCTAGCTACTCTAAATTTCTTGAAAATGCTGAAATGTTGACCATCATGTGCAGGCGCACTGTGGCCTTCGGAGCGGACACGACGATGCGTTGCAGGCCAATCCATTGTTGTCTTCTCAGAACGCTCCGGAGCGCCTTCTCCTGTGTAGATGTGTATAACAAATGTATTAATGTTTTAATGCTACGTTTATCTACCTTGTTTCTTATTTTGCCTTTTAAAGATCTCTCCTCTCTCTCTCTCCCTCTCCATGTGTCTCTTTTTTTCTCCTCACTCTCTCTCTCTCTCTCTTCTATCCCCTTCTCTCTCCCCTCTTTTCTCTCTCTTCTCTCTCTCCTCTCTCCTCTCTCTCGCTCTCTCTTTCTATACCTCACTCTCTCCCTGTCTCTCTTCTCTCTCTTTCTACCTTCCTCTCTCTCCCTCTCTCTTCCTCTCTCTTCCTTCCCTCTCCCTCACCTCCCCTCCATATCTCCCCTCCCCCTCTCTTTCCCCCTACCTTCACTCTTTTTCTTTCTACCCTTCCCTTTCTTGTCCCTCTCTTTCTCTCTCACCGCTTCTTCTTCTTCTCTCTCTCTCTTTTGTCATTTATCTTCTTTTCGATTTCCTTGTCATATCTCGCCTTGGTCTAGCCACATCTAGCCAGCCGTTGTATATTGTATTGCAATCATATTTTCATGTGTGTGAAACAATATGTTCTTCTTAAGTGTATATTTGTTGGTTCAATTTTGTTTACACTATTCAATTTCATTGTAAATCAACCATTATGAGTTCCTGAACTTTACGTGTTGATGTTTTTAAACCGAATAAATAAAAAAAAAAAAAAAATAAATTAGTAATGATTGACAGATTTTAATGAAATTTGATATGAAGGTACATGATATCAAAATACAGGCTAAGTTCGATTTCGGAGTATGTAGGTTAAAGGTCAAAGGTTATAGCTCATTAAATATGCAAATCTGGTTTCCATTCGATAACTTGAGTAATGTTTGACAGATTTTAATGAAAATTGAAAGGAAGGTACATAGTATCAAAACACAGCCTAAGTTCAATTTCGGAGTATGTAGGTCTAAGGTCATAGCTCATTAAATATGCAAATCTGGTTTCCGATCCATAACTTTAGTATTGTTTCACGAATTTTAATGAAATTTGATATGAAAGTTCATGGTATCAAAACACAGCCTTAGTTCGATTTCGGAGTATGTAGGTCAAAGCTCATAACTCATTAAATATGCGAATCTGGTTTCCGATCCGTAACTTTTGTATTGTTAAAAAAAATTTTAATGAAATTTTATAGGAAGGTTCATGGTATCAAAACACAGCCTAAGTTCAATTTCCGAGTATGTAGGTCAAAGGTCATAGCTCATTAAATATGCGAATCTGGTTTCCATTTGATAACTTGAGTAATGTTTGACGAATTTTAATGGAATTTAATATGAAGGTACATGGTATCAAAATACATGTACAGCCAAGTTCGATTTCTGAGTATGTAGGTCAAAGGTGAAAGGTCATAGCTCATTAAATATGCAAAAACCCCTAATAATATATGTGAAAATGTGGATAACTTCCTTGCCTAGTAATATAATACTATAGTCCAACGGAGGTAACTTGTTCTGACGTATATAGGCAATTTGTACCCTGCGAGGGGATGCTACGCTTTGCATTGACTTGTTTTTAAAGATCTAGTACAAAATGTGCAATTTTCTCAAAAAGGTCTATAGTGGCATTTAGTCATTTTTGGATATTTCAAATACTTGAACATAGAAAAGGATCTGTTCTGCCTAATTGATGCAAAAGATGTAGTTTGCTCAACATTGTGGGCGCTGTAAAGTGGCGCCTGGCTGGAATGCTCCACATGGTGTGGAGAATGTACATATATTCTGTGCAGGCAAAGCCTTAATCGAATGAACGGGGTAAAAATGTATCTGTGAAGCGCTGAGAGACATTATGGATGTATGAAATGGTATACATAAACCCATAATATTATTATTATTATTATTATAAATTGATCACCCTAGTACATGTTTATTGGTGGAGTAATCATTGACTAAAAATACCTGGTCCGTTTGTATAAATCATACATATCTGTGACACCGACAAAGCAATAGTTAATTCATGTATTATGATGGCTGAGGCCAACGTGTTTCAAGAGTCTAGATACATAATATGTAAGTTATGGGCTAGAGTGTATCTATCTATGTTCCATAGCTTTGAGGCTGTTGGTGCGACAATGAAACGGTCCTTTAGAAGCAGGTTCTCAATAACTTTCTGTCTCCACCATTTCTAGTTACTGGTAGCTGTTTAAATGACATTCCCAACATGTTTTTACATTTTCTCAAGTAATCCTGTAATGCATGTACGTTCAGATTGCGATATACATGTAGAATTGAATTAATCTGTGAGCACCTAAAGACCACTTTTCTTGTCTCCCTTGAGCTGTCTTTATTTTATTCAGATTTCACTTAACCATTTATCTTTTATTTATTTCTTTTCTCTGAAGGGATGATCTTACCGAGTGAATCCCTCTTCGATTACGGTGATCGGGATTGGAGTTATTATAACGATCCTGACTACGTCCCTCCCTTCCTCTCAGAGCTGATTGCAGCAGATCCGGAGTTGGCAGCAGAAGCTATAGCGTTTTGTGGGGGTAGTGAAGCATGCCTCTTTGATTCCCTAGCAGTTGATCCATCAGTTGGTTTAGAAACATTGTCTTCTAATAATGCTTTTGAAGAACAACTATCGGATTTAAGTAAGTTTCAGTTCGTAGTCATTTTCTTCATGTAAAAGAAAATGAATACTAATGAATTCAAATTAATTTTTAATACAAATTAATGCTGTTTGGACAGCATGTTTTGTAAATCTGTTTCAAATTTTTAAACACCCCCTCTACCGTAAATGAAACATCATGCAAAATACTCTGGTACAGTATAAATATGTTTATGTAAATGCGCTATGTATCACATGAAAACATAATTTAGAAATGATATTCTTCTTATTATTATCATTACTTTCAATAATATTTATTTTACTTTTACTGTGTTCATTATTATTGTTTTGATTATTATTAATATTTTTATTTATGTTATTATTATTATTATTAATGTTGTTATTATTTTGTTTTTCATTTAACTTATAGATAACTTCCCACCAAACATCACATCTGTCATTGAGACCAGTTCGACAGATGCACTGTCAGAGAGCGGTATTCTGCGTGTAACTGTTGACCAAACAGTCACCTTACAAATAACAGCTTCAGACCCAAATGATGGAGATGTTGTGCAGTATTCATTGCAGGGTGTTCAGCCTGGCGCAACCATAGACCAAAGTACATTGCAGTTTAATTTCAATTTTTAGTGACATTTAATATTCATCTTTTAATCCAGTATGCTACGATGACAATTACAAATCAGACATGAGCAGTAAAGCTTTGACGATCATGAAAAAGAGTAATTTCATTAAAAAAAAATTGGTAGGAATGAATTCCTTGATTGCTGTGCATAAGCATCAAATATCGGGAGCCTAAAGTTAGAATCTAGAACCTAGAACCTTGGGTAATTTGTGAGCACATTAACCCTTATCAGGCCAGGGAGGGGGGGGGGGACCATTATACCCCCCTCCGCAAGTTTTCTGATTGTCCTGGAACTCGCGAGGATGACCACCACTTCAATATTAAAATACGTAAGTTAAAAAACAATGGAGAAATTATCGAAGCAATAGATAACATAAGAAATAACCTGGCCTTACCAAATTTGTTTGTTGTATTATAATTCTAAACGGTCTAAAGAATATTCAATGTATGTCATGAAAACTAATGTAAATAAAATATGAAGAGTTATTGATTTATGGTAAAAATGTGAATTTTATGAACTTATTTGCATAAATTACCATAATGCTAAATTTTTCAAAACCGTTTATTGGTTACCTTTTTGTCCACAGACTGCCAATGGGATTGTTACCCATGATCTGATGATGCAGGTGTTTCGCCTGTAGCTTTTCTTCTATCTCTTTTTCCAAAGAATATGTTTATTTTGCTTTCTCTTTTTCACCATACAAAAAGGTCATCTGGTGTTTTTTCCTCCCGAATCCTTAACCCTAAAAAGGCTGGGGGGGGGGGGGGGGTGATTTAGCCTGCCCCCTTAGAGTCTTGCACATCTTTTTAGACACATTTTCAAAAATTTGCATTACAAAAAGCTCTTGTTAAAACTATACCCCACTACTATAACACAGGAACCAATGTAAATCAGGTGGGGTATCATGACCCCACTTTTGTTTCTCTCGTTAAAACTTGGACAGAGCCACTATACCCCACCACTATGGACCAATGTAAATCAGGTTGGGTATCACGACCCCACTTTTTTTTCTCTCGTTAAAACCTGGACAGAGCCTTGCAGCTAGCTCTGCGTGAGAGACTAAGATATTGGATTGCAGCTGTATTCTTCATCATCTTATGTAATAGTCTAAACAAAATCTTACTGGGGCTCTGCCTGTAAGGAAATGAGAAGTAGGAAATATATATTTTACTCGTTTTAAGATATTGTTATGTCCAAAAGTCACTTATAATTTAGATGAAGACCATAATGAAAGTTCTAACGAAGCAAAATGACCCAGAATTGGAGATATACCAACAATTTTAACTGTGAAAATTAAGCACTCTTTCTCCCTTCCTCTGTCCCTCTATCATGCTTATATCTATATCCCTCTCTATCACCCGTCAAGGTCTCGCCGGGGGGGGGGGGGGGGATTACATTGTATAGCACTAGTTTTTACTTTAGGCTTAGCTCTAGGAGTAGTGAAAGTCAAATAGAGTACCGAAGCTGTGACGTCATAAAAATCTATTAGAATTTCTCATTTTTTTCTTCGTTTTCTGAAAGAGCATAACAAATAATGTCCAAATGTCGAAAACCAATTGAATATGTTAAGTATTGGCTGAGCTATGACCATCTGAATGAATATATTTCCTATAGGAACTCAGTGTTATATGCTATGGCTCCTGGCTCCTAATGGTTAGGAGCTAGAGCATAATAACACTGAGCTCCTATAGGAAATATATACTATACTAGTGGCGATCTCTACGTCATCCTTTTGTTCCATGCAGGGAGGGGAAGAGGGGAGCTTTGTCGCTCCTGCGAACATAAGGATGACACAAAAATTGCTGCCACTGCCGGACGATAGATTTACATTGCGTGTCATACATTTTTGTTATTATATGTTTTTATTATTATTGATTATTATTATTATTATTATTATTATCATTATATTCTTTGACTGTTGCAGATACTGGATTGTTCACATGGACTCCTCCAAGCTTAGATGTTTCTATGGTTGAGATCGTAGCAACCGACGGTTTTGGAGCAAGTACGTTACAAGCTTACAAGGTCAGAGTGTGTCAGTGTTCCAATGATGGAGTATGCAACTTTGACATCTTAGCAGCAAATCAGGATCTCAACAACAATGGCTTTACCGTGAGTAGAAATATGGAATTAGGTCTACTGGAAAAGAAATTAACAAAAGCATATACAATCATTCACTATTAGTAGCAGCAAACTTAGATCTTGAAATATCAATGCCGACATAGTATTTTTTTTGGTATTTTTAAATAATTTTTAAAATCAAACAAATGTACATATTTTTAAAAACGCAGCTTGTGATTGCTATTGGTGTACCAATACCAATGTTTCTTCTGTATGATCTAAACAACTTTGTCAATGTTTTCTCAAGCAAGTAATTTTGCATAATCTCTTTGCCCTATTTTTACAGCAACACTTTTATTCCACAAAAATAAATTACTGAAGAATTCCATATCTCCATGCATAACACAGTCGCAGAGACTCACAAATAATCACCTTACTGCTCTTTTTAGAAATCATGTTCAAATTATGTAACCATCCATTGTAATGTTTTGCACATTTATCAAAAGGTGGCACAAAAATTGAAATTACCTTGATTTTTTTTCCAGAGTCCTTTGTGACTGTGTTTTACCAAAATACAGACTATGGTGTTGTAAATTGTAACAGAAAAATAGCTAGAAGTACTGTAAGAATGTTCTTAGCACTTCTATTCATACATGACATTTTATTTTTGTTATTCTTGCTTTTGTTTGATTTGTACAAAACGTTTCTTAACTAATTACCCATCCATTACATGTTTTATAATTTGTTTTCATAAAGTAAAGTTCATCTACTTTTTTTCATGGCTTTGATATGTACTGTTTATATATATGTTTGTTATCCATTTTAAATAGTAAATATGATATTGCACTCAGTAAAAACAAGAAATTGGACACTATTATCGTTATAGTTATGATTCTAAAAAAAGTATCTAATATTAATCTAGCTTTCATAAATTAAAATAAACATAAAATTAAACCTCTTTAAAATTATATTCATTTGTAATTATACCAGTCATGCATGAGTGAGCAAAAACAATTCACAATAAATGAGTCGCTGAATGAAAATGTAAAAAAATGGGCATCTGGTCATTCAAATTGTCATCAGTTAGGATCTTAGGTGAAAAGGGAGGGTATCTTGACTGTGCTTGCCAAACCATGCATAGTTCAAATATTTATTTTTATGTTAACGAAACATCAATGGATTGAATTTAATGACTGTGTTACAGGTTGTCACATGTACATGCGATGTTGGCTGGTCAGGTGATCACTGTGGTATAGACTTCGACTCCTGTCAAGGTTCCCCTTGTTATGAAGGTGTTTTCTGCTCTGACGAGCCGCCACCTTCAGTTATGCCGATGTGTGGACCATGCCCACCGTCTCTTACAGGAGATGGATTAACTTGCTTTGGTATGCCTTTGTTTACCATAGAAGTAACAATAATTTTTAAAATAATTATCATGATACAAATTAAGATAATAATAATATTGATAATAATGATAATGATGAGAATAATAATAATATCATCAATAATGATAATAATAATTACAACAGTTGAAATGTAGTCATTTATAGTGAGCAACATTTTCACCCAGATGGTGCTCCAGCCTCTGAAAATAAAAAGATTGATGACAAAAATAACCTAAAGGTGCTTAAAATAAAACAAAACAACACATTCAGGAGAAAACACTTGTTAATAAAGTGTTTTTAGTATTCTCTTAAAGTCATCTATGATTTTTTACTACATCATGATACTATATCAAACTGTACTGATTATCATAGTGCGACATGTACATTTGTCGTTTTTTAATTCATAACCCAACTCCTTTCTGTGTGTAGTTTTCAGCAATTTGCCAGTACATTTCTTGTTGTTTTGATGATTCTAAAACATCACTGCATGCAATATTTATTATATATTACTTTATTGACTGTTCACCTTTGTTTCTAAACAGTTTCTTCCATAATGTACTTGTAACTGCATGACCAGAACTCAACTTCATCTTTCAGTATCAATTTTAGCCCCCAAATTTTCATGGAACGGACAGTTTATTGTGTGCTTTTAGATGACATTGTTTTATGCTGATTTTTGTCTAGATGTTGATGAGTGTGCAAATGGCACACTTAATGAATGTGATCAAAACTGTGATAACAGACTTAATGGATATGATTGCACATGTAATGATGGCTTTACACTTGATATGGATCAAAGAAGGTGTAATGGTAAGTATATTTTGATTACAATGATAATAATAGTAAGGTGGTCTTTATGATATACAGCCCACCTGATAATAATAATGATAATAATAATAATGATATCAATAATACATTATACTGATAAAAATAATGATGATAATGATGATAATAATAACAATAATGATCCAGAGAATCCAATGACTATGGTAATAATAATTACAATTTAAAGTGCTTAGAAACATTTTAGTAAGCGTTTTACAAATTTGAATATTATTATGTTTATGTCAATTTATGTTCACAGTTTCATAATGCAATTCACTGAAACTTGTTTAACTTATAGGATATGCTATACATTAGACTGACCCTTCATATAAAGCATAATTTCAACGCAATGAATCACCAAAGTATATTTTGTGACAGTACAAGTACAGTAATAACTATATTATTCATATATAGTCCTTGTAAATTTGATGTTTTTTATGTTTTTTTCGTAACTCAAGAATGAAAGTTGGACTGATTGTACTAGGGCCATGGTTGAATATTTGTCGAAAATGCTTAATATGTCCCATTATCAAAAAATATATAAATCTTGACAAATTGCAAAACGTAAGGATATGAACAATTTAATTTCTTTAATTATTATGGCATGTATTCATTTAGTCCTGATTTTGAAGATCATAATTTCTACAAAAGTTTCAAAGTAAGTGTTCACCTAAGATGAATGAATAAATGCTAAAACGAACAAACCTGAAAAATGCCGCGTTTCACAGCTTCACATCTGAAAGAGGTTTCAGTCACATGTCGGGTTAATATGAGTTGTATCGGAAATTGAAATATTTATTTATTTTCAGATATCAACGAATGCATATTGGGTACACACGGTTGCCAAAACAACAGTCTTTGTGATAATACCATCGGTTCCTATCAGTGCTATTGCGAAGTCGGATTTTCCCCAATTACAAATGATAACGTCAATTGTGAAGGTCAGTAATGTCAACTATAATGATGATGATGATGATGATGATATGAATAGTGAAAAAGTAAGAGTAATGATAAGAATCATGATAATAATCATTACAATGGTTATGATAATTTTGGTTATAATAATAATCATAACAATCATAATAATAAACATGGTAATAATAATAATAATGATAATAACAATAATGATTTTTAAAAGCACACCAATGATTAGGTTCACGTTCACCAAAAGGCAGAAAAGCTAGTACATGGTGGTACATGTAGCTGCACTACGTTATACAAATATTGAATGCTCCAGAGTTCAGTATAACACAATGTATGAAAAGACAAATTCCTGAGTGATGTTATGCATGCTGACGTTGAAATAGAATTGCACTTGGGAAATTCTGACTCATAATATATATATTTTATATAGAACGATATGCATTCAATATGTGTTGCATAAAAGTATAAGGGTATTTGAGATCTCATACCTTGGGGGTTTGTTCAAGCCATCAAGCTTTCCATGTCAGATCTATGCGGCTAAGGCAGTACAAACAATTGGTATGCGCATACTTAGATATATGCGGTATGACGTACATTTTATCATGCAAAAAGAGGCTGTATGTTGCATATTTGGTCACGTATAACAAATTGCCATGTGATTGCTTCTCAGCCAATAAGATGCTCTCTAACAAACACCCTATTTCATAAAAAATTGTATTTTTGTTATGATGATGATGATGATAATTAAGCTTATGATTGTCTTTATTCCCAGATATTGATGAATGCACGGTGGAGAGCCCATGCGATGCGGAAGCAACGTGTGGAAACAATGAAGGCTCTTTCATATGCATGTGTAATGAGGGTTACGTAGGAGATGGAACCACTTGTACAGGTACAGTACCGCCCATGATAAACTTCCACATTTGCGCGGGCAGAATGCGGGTGAATATGTATTGACCACGCTCAGTATTGTTTGGTGGCGATTCACACACAAAGCCATTAATTCCTTGCACTGTTTGACAAGGTTGCCCCTATTGGTGAGCATGCTTGCACAAAACACTTAACTGCGGTCAGGTATATGCAATATGTATGAATAGACTGTCTAAAGCCCACTGCATACTGTACGATCTTGCATCGGTGGAAAAGAGGAAGAGAAGAGGAATGGGGTTAGGATAATCTGGCATTGGTAGGAAAGAGGAGGAGTAGAGGACAGTGATTGGATAATAATGATGATAATAAAAACGGTGCTATAAAGTCTTTGAGCGGAAGGGGTAGTAGAATGTTTGTTGGAATCCGGCATTGGTAGGAAAGAGGAAATGTAGAGGAACGGGGGTTGAAATTTAGTGCTCATTACACCCCCCCCCCCCCAACTGGGCGAAATATCGGTAGGCACGATTTTCAAATTTTCGGGGGCACTGAAAAAAGAAAGACAAATTGTGCTCACCACTACCCTGACCTAGCTGTCACCTTCTATTTCTTTTCTCTATTCAAGATATGAATGAATGTCTGGACGAATCTCTAAATGACTGCGCCTCACAGGCGACTTGTGTTAATTCACGTGGTAGTTTCTCATGTGCGTGTGATGAAGGCTGGGTCGGCAACGGTACCTACTGTGAGGATGCTAATGAGTGCTCCACTAACGATGATTGCAGTGCTGATGCGACGTGTGAGAATAATCCTGGGAGCTACCTCTGCACCTGTAATGCAGGATATGTTGGAAATGGAATTGAATGCTTTGGTAAGTCAGGAAGGTCTTCACGGGTATAATATTAAACTCTATAGTGCTCATTCAGATGTGACCTGCTAAGCCACCACAGTCTTTTTACATCTAAATGAATGGCAACTGGGTTCAACAAATATTCTCATGAAAATGCCTCTGTGTAGAAAATGAATGGGAACAAAGTGGATCAGGTTAGAGTGTGTCAGGTGGGTCAGAAAGAAGCAGTACAGTAAATGGAAACACCCCCCCCCCCCCACCCCAACCGACCATGGACCATCTACTGACTGTTTCATGCTGGCTGACATGCACATACACTGGGAGGGACCTGACAGAGGCCAACAGACCATGGAACATCTACTGACTGTGTCATGCTGGCTGACACATACACTAAGAGGGACCTAGCTGGCAGAGGCCAACAGACCATGGACCATCTACTGACTGTGTCATGCTGGCTGACACATACACTGGGAGGGACCTGGCAGAGGCCAACAGACCATGGGCCATCTACTGACTGTGTCATGCTGGCTGACACATACACTGGGAGGGACCTGGAAGAGGCCAACAGACCATGGACCATCTACTGACTGTGTCATGCTGGCTGACACATACACTGGGAGGGACCTGGCACAGGCCAACAGGCCATGGACCATCTACTGACTGTGTCATGCTGGCTGTCACATACACTGGGAGGGACCTGGCAGAGGCCAACAGACCATGGACCATCTACTGACTGTGTCATGCTGGCTGACATGCACATACACTGGGAGGGACCTGGCAGAGGCCAACAGACCATAGACCATCTACTGACTGTGTCATGCTGGCTGACATATACACTGGGAGGGACCTGGCAGAGGCCAACAGACCATGGACCATCTACTGACTGTGTCATGCTGGCTGACATGCACATACACTGGGAGGGACCTGGCAGGGGCCAACAGACCATAGACCATCTACTGACTGTGTCATGCTGGCTGACATATACACTGGGAGGGACCTGGCAGAGGCCAACAGACCATGGACCATCTACTGACTGTGTCATGCTGGCAGACACATACACTGGGAGGGACCTGGCAGAGGCCAACAGACCATGGACCATCTACTGACTGTGTCATGCTGGCAGACACATACACTGGGAGGGACCTGGCAGAGGCCAACAGACCATGGACCATCTACTGACTGTGTCATGCTGGCTGACACATACACTGGGAGGGACCTGGCAGAGGCCAACAGACCATGGACCATCTACTGACTGTGTCATGCTGGCTGACACATACACTGGGAGGGACCTGGCAGAGGCCAACAGACCATGGACCATCTACTGACTGTGTCATGCTGGCTGACACATACACTGGGAGGGACCTGGCAGGGGCCAACAGACCATAGACCATCTACTGACTGTGTCATGCTGGCAGACACATACACTGGGAGGGACCTGGCAGAGGCCAACAGACCATGGACCATCTACTGACTGTGTCATGCTGGCTGACATGCACATACACTGGGAGGGACCTGGCAGGGGCCAACAGACCATAGACCATCTACTGACTATGTCATGCTGGCAGACACATACACTGGGAGGGACCTGGCAGAGGCCAACAGACCATGTACCATCTACTGACTTTGTCATGCTGGCTGACACATACACTGGGAGGGACCTGGCAGAGGCCAACAGACCATGGACCATCGACTGACTGTGTCATGCTGGCTGACAAGTACACAGCAGGGAGGGACCTGGCAGAGGCCAACAGACCATGGACCATCTACTGACTGTGTCATGCTAGCAAACACGTACACAGCAGGGAGGGACCTGGCAGAGGCCAACAGACCATGGACCATCTACTGACTGTGTCATGCTGGCAGACACATACACTGGGAGGGACCTGGCAGAGGCCAACAGACCATGGACCGTCTACTGACTGTGTCATGCTGGCTGACACATACACTGGGAGGGACCTGGCAGAGGCCAACAGACCATGGACCATCTACTGACTGTGTCATGCTGGCTGACACATACACTGGGAGGGACCTGGCAGGGGCCAACAGACCATAGACCATCTACTGACTGTGTCATGCTGGCAGACACATACACTGGGAGGGACCTGGCAGAGGCCAACAGACCATGGACCATCTACTGACTGTGTCATGCTGGCTGACACATACACTGGGAGGGACCTGGAAGAGGCCAACAGACCATGGACCATCTACTGACTGTGTCATACTGGCTGACACGTACACAGCAGGGAGGGACCTGGCAGAGGCCAACAGACCATGGACCATCTACTGACTGTGTCATGCTGGATGCCACGTACACAGCAGGGAGGGACCTGGCAGAGACCAACAGACCATGGACCATCTACTGACTGTGTCATGCTGGCTGACACATACACTGGGAGGGACCTGGCAGAGGCCAACAGACCATGGACCATCTACTGACTGTGTCATGCTGGCTATCACATACACTGGGAGGGACCTGGCAGAGGCCAACAGACCATGGACCATCTACTGACTGTATAATGCTGGCTGACACATACACTGGCAGAGGCCAACTACATGGCTCGTACCTTTGCTAGATATTGGGAGGTAGTTGTGTGATATGACTCAAAATGATATTTATATTTTCAATTTGAGTTGTAACTGTTGAAATACAATTATTCGGAACAAGCTAATGAAATGATTACATAACATTATAAAAAATAGTCTATTTGGTCACAGGTGGGCGAACAATGCAACAATGGTCCTACGTGTACTCCATATTTCTGTGTGTTGTAAGGATTACAAACAGTGAAAGTCGGTATGCTTCCATATGCACAAAAATGTTTAGCACTTAACAGAGCGTTCGCGAATAAGCCTGTACAAATAAAATCTCTGGTTACAAAATACCTCTTTTAAAAATGTTCAAGCTTGAGTATATAGAGGGCAACACACAGAAACTGCCATAATCTCCTGAAGGAAACTCAGTGTTTACATTGGCGCTGTTTGGGAGTACCGCACGTAATACCATAATAATCGTACATAATGCAGTCATATGAAGTCTGCATGAACATTTGCAGTGTACGTACATTGCATACAAAGTGAAATATCATGTACGCGTATGTTGCATGCTTGCTAAGCAAGATCTAGTAACGCCCGGACATTGACCATATTTTGATAATATAATCTTAATGAATTTCCATCAAATATCAAATAAAACTTGCAAGATTAAATTGTAAATAAACATGTTTACAGAACTATAATAATGTGCATTATATAATGTATTCAATTAATCGCATATTAATAAATTTGATATTTTAAAGCTAAATTACAAACAGTCGTTCGAAATTCGAGATAAATCGGGCACGGACGATATTCTCGGTCATTTGAGAAGTAGGCAAGTTGGCGATCACTACATAACACTGAGCCAATAATACGCTCCCTTGCGTAAAAAGTTTGCACGATGGCATAGGTATCGCACGTCTGTGTGTTGTCCTCTATATACCCACGCTTGAGCAACTTTAAGCCTGAAGTGACTTTTTTTTGCAATATCTTGTCAATCTACTTTTTGCGTAAAAATGTTGCTCACAAAAAAATTGACATATGCTTTGATATTTCTATCTAGACATCGACGAGTGTGCCTCTGAAGATGATAACTGTACCATGTCAGCTCTGTGTGTCAACACAAACGGATCGTTTGAGTGTCAGTGTGCCGACGGCTACATACAAAATCTACAGGGAGAATGTGAAGGTGAAGAGAAAACTGTCTTACGTTGATGATCCTAAAAATTACAGCCCATAACAACTTCTGTTTTGCCCAAAAGATTTAATGATTATGCAATACAATAAGGACATTATATATTTTATTATGCCTTGGCAAATCTTTACATGTAAAAAGACATGTGTCATGAGTTTGACAAAAAAAAGGTGGTGCTGTACACATGTTGGTTCCATCCTAGAGTAAATTGTCTTCAAAACCATATACGGTAGACTAGCTGATACAAAAAAATTTGGTAGCATTTTCGAATTTGAGTTACAATGTAATTTTCTTGCTAATTATTATATTCACAATTGGTGTTAACAGCATTTTGAAGTTGGAAGACCAGGGGTGGTGAAGGAAGCGGTGCTGCCCATACAATTTGAGTGGTGAAATTTAGAATTTTGTGCAATGTTGAAAGTCCTAGTAAATTTTGGTCAAAACTTGACATATGTCTACAATGTTGGTATCAAATCTAAGCTAACCAACTTTGTATTACCGTCTTATAAGTAAAAGGTTAGTTTGGCTAGTAAATGGTAATGTCTGAAACTGAAATAATGGGAATTTCAATCATAAATTTGTGCTGTCTGTACATAATTCAACGGGCAAATTTAATTTTGAGTAGTTGTGGGAAAGTTAGAATATTTCGGTCAAAATTTGGTACATGACTACAAATTTGGTACCAAATCTATCTATTGAAATCCATCTTACTGTGTTATGTATGTAAAGTATGTTAGACTTTAAAATTACTAGTGATGCAACACTTAATATATGACTATTCGTTTAAAGACTACCTCACTATAAAGACCGCTTTTCTTGTCTCCATTGAGCGGCCTTTATATACAGGTGTGTAATTGGGTTTTTTACCGACGTTTATCAAATCAATCAGATATAATGATTAGTGTCTGGGGACCGACCTTTGGCATCACTATCCGAAAGACGTAAAGGTTTTCACTGTAATGCATTATCTATCTTTATCTAGATGCGAATGAATGTGTCAATGACCCTTGTGATATGGACGCACAGTGTGTGAATACTAATGGATCATTCGTCTGCTCATGTAACGAAGGACTTCAAGGAAGTGGACTCACATGTGAAGGTAGTTATAAAGACCTATATGTACATGTAGCTATTACAAATTCTATATTCTTATAAATTATGAAAAAAACCTAGATAGTCATGGAAAAATAATTAATTATGATAAGTTATGGAAAGTCATGGACATTGATAATAGGTCTGAGCCATGTGGGGCTATGGCAGCCTTCCAGTTTGAACTGACAATGGGCGTGGTATTCGTACATCGTTTGGATGACACAACCCTAACCGAAATGGTACCTATCTAGTTATGGAAAGAGGTACAAATAAGTCCATGAAAGAAAAACTCATTAAAAAATTGAAGAAAATTGCCAAAACCTTGTACACATATTCATGTAGAAATGCCGTGCAACTTTGTCCATTGAAGCCATTTCCACTGTTGTATTTTTGCACTCTTAACTCAATCACCAAAACATTTGTTGTTTTGACAGAAGGGGTACCCTGTTGTACTGGATTCAAAATATGAAGTCCAAATATTTGTTTTACAAAGAGATACAAAGAAATAGACTCGTCGATGCATGTGTCTGTGTTCACATAGAACAAGGGCCGCGTGAAAGCATAGACGTACTTGCGTTCCGTGATAGGTACTTTAGGTTATCCTTTGTTTTCTTCAAACTTCTTAGCCGCTAACCCATAAAATACCATGTAGGTTTTTTAGGGTGACTTCATATACTCTAGCTATACACAAATTGCATTTGGAGATGATTGGTGCACTTCAGTCATGTGACAAACTATCAACCAATCACGGTCTATATGTGGCCCATATGGCATCGCCATTCAAGTCAGAGCAGTACTATTTTAACTCATTTCCAGGCAGAGATAACTAAAAAACATACAGAGACAAATAATATAAATTGTATAATGATACTATAAATGATATTTATATTAATATTAATGTTATCATTATTATTTGTTCTTAATGTTATTATTGGTCGGACGAAATTTATTGAGTGCTTGTGCTCCTTAATCATGGTAGCTTGGCTTAAAGCCGGGGTGTGTTATATGATTGCAGGTCCCTTAAGGAGAACAGTGTAAATGTTGATGAGGCTGCCCTTGGTAAAGCAAGACATTTTATTAACATAACACAATTATTATTACTTTATGTTTGTTAACTGTCATTGTTATTCTTATTGTTCTATTTTCACAGATATCAATGAATGTGAATTGGGAACTCATGACTGTCAGCAGAGCTGCATTAATGACAGTCCTGGGTTTAACTGCAGTTGTTTTTCAGGTTTTATTCTTACGAATGATGAACAGACATGCATGGGTATGTATTTCCTTTTGTTAACCCTTTGAAGTCCCCCTCCCTCATTTTGTGGTTTGACGTGCTGGAAAGCTCTTGATTCAGAGCTGTAACGAGTATACCACATGCATGATAAGAAGGGAGACAGAATTGGGCAATTGGGCCCTTAAATATAATAATAATAACTCCCTTGGGAGCATGCCAGCCAGGCGTTGCTTGACTCTCAAAACTGTTTGACCAACAATGACGGTCACATCCTACTGGGTACCCATTTAACACCTAGGTGGAGAGTAGCAAGTCCAGGTTAATTTCTTCCCAAAGGATATTAGTGTCGTGTCGGGATTCGGACCCTAGCTCAACCTTCGCATACAATATGCTGTCCTGAAAAGGAAAACCCCAAATCTAGTAATGCCCCTGTAATAACGTATTTGCCGGCGATAAGGCCGCACCGCCGCAGAGGCCGCACCCCCAACTTTGACATTTCAAAGAGGGGGAAAAGGAAAAAAAAAAAAAAAAACGGACAAAACAAAATAATCATAATTTTCTCGAAAACACTATTTTTTTTTTACAAACTGATACCAAATTCATCAATATTCTTATACTTTAGCGGAAGTTTAGCTAGAAAAGCGATCGCAGGCAGATTTGGTGTCCGATATACCCCTACCACAATGTACGGTGTAATGCGAAATTGCATGAAATGGAAAAACAAAATGGCGACTTCGGATGGATGCTTCGCGGCAGGTTCGTTAAACAGTCCCTTCCTTTACTTTTGCAATGCATTGGCACGAACTTAGATCAAGATATATCGACAAATGTTGTTTTTAGGAAGTTATTTTCGTCTTCATGTCAACATTGCAAGATAAAATTGTCGGTAAGATGTTTGGAAATGTCCTGTACCATAGTGGTATTGTTATTTTACTGTTTCTAGTCCCATACGTGCAAAATCGTGTTGGTTTTGACTTTTTTTTTTTTTTTTTTTACTCTTTCGTCGTAAAGGCCGCACCCCGACTTTTTGATATTTTCTCTTCCAAAAATACTGCGGCCCTTACGCCGGCAAATACGGTAGTCATTTGGAATATCCATTGCTACGCCAACTATATTCGCGTTACAAAAATACATTCCAAGCTGGACATCTTTTCTATGTTTTGCAACACATAATAACTCAAAAGTGTTTTGTTTAAATATATAACCCAGGAGAGTCTCTTCTAGGACCTATAATGATATGGTACCCACAATATATTTTGTAGTAACTGCCCCAATGGAGAAGGCACTTAACTTACTTAACCCTATATATCCTGGGCTAATTTGAAACTGCATAGTCTTAGAAGCCCCCCCCCCCCCCCCCCCCTCCTCCTATGATCTCGGCCGTGAAACGACCTATCCCCGCAAAAATTTGCATGCATGTCAAGTGAAGTGTATAGAATACTGTGGTAATTTCAATTTTTTTGGAAAAATTCACTCATTTGCACATATCGTCGCTGTTTTCACGAAGTGACGGTAGTGAAAAAAAATTGCATTCACTTTGCGTTACGATTTTCCTCACTACCGTCACTTCGTGAAAACAAGGACGATATATGGTAATTTATGCAAATATGGTTATAACATTCGCATTTTTATCCATAAATCATATATTCTTCATATTTAAACATTAATTTTCACTACATATATTATTTAGACCATTTGGTATAATAATACAGCCAACAAAATTGGAAGAGCCAGGTTATTCCTTATAATATCTATTGTTTTGATAATTTCTTATGTATTTCTTTGTTTTTTTAACTGTATTTTATTGTCTTTGTTGTTTATGTCTATATAACTTCTCCCATTCTCAAATCTATCATAAGTGAAGACAGACCACCTAATTCGTCCCCATGACAAATTAAATTTTCTAGTATTTCATTTCCAACTATAATTCAACTATTTTGACCCCAAAAATAAACACCTAAACTATAAACAAGACCAAATAACCAATGTTTTATCTCTTTATTTGAAAAATGAGATTTCCATATGTTTTGTACACAAATCACAAAAATGAGCGATTTTTGGGCTCACATGCAAAGAAAAAAGGACACGTGACTTTGTAATGGTAGGTCCGATTTTCAAAAAATTTCTTTCAAAAGATGCGCAAGACTCAAAAAAAAAAAGTCACAACATTTCAGTGCAAGATTTTCTTGCGTTGAAACATATCGTGAAAAATGCCCCCCGGCTAAATAGGGTTAAGAGAATGAACAAAATTAAGATTTGTGTGTACATGAAAAATGGGAGAGGTTGTCCGATTGTTATTATTCACTGACCAACTTCCCAATTTCAGATTTCAGATATAGTGTTTTTTGTATTTCAAATATTCATAACTTTTTTTTATTTTTCCAATTTATTTCAAACTTTCTCCATTCTGTTTCTCCATTTTTTCTGCGGGCCTGATAATAATTGCAGATATGTCTCCCCAATTACTATCACATTTTATTTTTAATACTCTATCTGAAATTCTTTAATTTGAATATTGCAGTTACTGCCAGTTGTTCCCTGCCATGTGGCCTTGGTGTCTGCATTGATTCTACAGGCGCGGACGAGTGTGTATGCAGTCAGACTGGATATGAATTCAATTCAACTATAAACAACTGCACAGGTATGAACAATACCAACCTATTTTGTCCTTATATATTATGGATCACATATAAGTATGTATTAAAGGTGCTATGTCCCTTTTGCAACCAACCTCAAATGCTGTAGAACTTTGCAGGAATTATGAATATGTCATGTATGTCCTATTTGTGAAATTTAAACGTTAACAGTGTCCTCATATTCAAATTATGCAAGGAAACCTGTTTACTTGCTAGACTTCACTGTCAGACACTTTAGTGACTGACTGGCTTTTTTTCTTCTTTGGTAATAACATACATGAAAAGAGTTTGTAAAGGGTACATGAGCATTTGTCTACATCAATAACCCACTTCTTGTGATGGCCAAGATTAAACTGATTGAATCTTTGCCAGCATAAAACGTATGACCGTTCGGTACAATTGTCTGAAAATCAAGACTATTACTTTTGGGCTCTATAGCCCTAAAGTCGATTTGACAACTAATAGTCATTATTTTCCCACTTGAAAACATTTTCAAGCCCCACATTTTTTAGGGAAGTTCTAAATTAGTATCTTTCAAATTCAGTTGGAATTTAACTTTTTCATTTTTTCGGCCTGCAAATGGGACATAGTACCTTTAAGGTATTAGCCATACTAGATCTAAGATTAGACCATGTGTGAAGTGAAATGACATGGGCAATGTCAATTGACAATGGATTGTACGTTCTGAACTCCACTTTACTTGAAAACATATATAGGGCTCCAAGTGAGCACATACTTGCCTGTATTTACACATATATTCTACATTTAAAAAGTCCAAGTGCAAGGATTGGCTACTGATGGCTCACATGACATTGAATACTTCCACCATGGAGCCCAAAATGGAGTTTGCATGACGTCAACCGGGGTAAAGCCTTTTATATTACTGTTCCAAGCCATCGATAGGCCTATCACGATATTGCCACTGCAGCCACTGTGAAATGGGCAGCACTCTTCACAAGCTTTTTTTGTGCATATTTTGGACTAAGGTATATTAAAGTGGATATTTATTTCCAGATGCATTTCTAAATAGCTGACATTTTTAATTTTTCATTTGTTGATGAGGGATATAAATCGAATATACCATGCACTCTTTTTGAGGCACCAATACAGTTAAAGATCTTGGGTAATGGCATGCTGACTATTTTCTTTTGGGCCGAACCCCTGAGAAAAAACTGCTATGCCCATCACCTCAGAGAAGACATATTTTCAACTGGAGTTCTTGGTATAACATGTGACAAAAGCTTGTTGCAAAAATATTGTGTATCATCTTTCTGTTACGGTTCTAATTATTTGTTGTTCACTTCTTATATATGTGCAACTCACTAATCAAATTATTTGTTTGAGAGCAGTCAAGTGTGATTCATTTTATTGAAACTCTGGCACAATTTTCCATTAAAAGGCATCTGATAGTTCCCATTACATCCAAATATCAACAAAATCTAGTAAGTGCTTACAAAAACTTTACATGACTTTGGGATTCATTATTGAGCAGCTGCCGGTTTGGTATCTTTTGAATATACATGTACATTGTATTTTCAAATTTTATGTTTTAATTTTGTTCTACGGTTAATAGCAAAATTTAATGTGATTCAATATCTGTGTTTATTTATCCCTCTTATTTCCTTTAGACATCAATGAATGCATTGGGGAGAATCGTTGTGAAATGAACTGCGATAACATCCCAGGAGGATACGACTGTTCCTGTGTAACAGGCTTCTTGCTCGATGTAAACGGAAGAAGTTGTTCAGGTAGGCCTTGATTATATTATTCCTTTATGTAAATTCCATGAAATTGGGGCCAAAAATGTGACAATATCCAGGTAAAACTATTGTTATGAAATAAACTAATACACATGGAAGATGAAATAATTTTTTTTTATCAAATGACTATGCGCTGCCAGAACAATTCTGTTTCAGTTGCATCTCTTCAATTTTTTTGTTAAATATGCATTTCTTTTTTTATTGACGTTACATAGACATCACATTTATAAAACATTAACCCCCCCCCCCCCCCCCCCTCTGTACTTATATTTGGCCTTATGATATTGATTCATTGTGAAGCTAAAGTACACTCTACTTGTAAACATAGTGAGCTTTACTTTTTGTGCTTAACTCAATTTGGGCGAAAATTTTTAAAGTTCATTGGAGACATGGTTTCTCACTTCTGGCACATGCAAATTAAAATTATGATAAAATACATGCAGTTCCAAATGGCAAGGAAATTGATTCACACACTGAGAAGTGCATTATGCTGTTTGGTTATACTAGTTGAACTCCACAAGTCTAATCCATTATCATATTGTGACTTAACCTGCGTACAGTGTTTATTTACTATGCACATGCGCACTTGAATTATTTGTATAATTACGGCTAAACACATATTTGTTAAAACCTTGGAAGTATATAGTTCTCATCTTCATGTTCAATATCTGTTATTATGTCTTTATATGCCACACAAATAATCTCCTTAGCATGGGGTAGATACAGTAAACAAAAGAGTTTAAGATTATTTAACTGTTTCCAGTGCAAGATTATTTAAGTGTTGTTATGGAGCTATTCGACACAGGAAATGGGAAATTGTGCAAAGCCTGGATTGTTTTGGACACACATGTAGCAATCCATATAATTATCAGTTGGTCCCTATTCGTTTGTGCAAAGTGGCAAATGAATGACTGTTCATAGAGACAAAGGAAGCAACCCAACTGTTAAAGATATGTTTGTTATGGAGGTTTTGACAATGGTTTCGCACCACAGCTTAAATCAAAACACCCTTGATTTTTTAGAAGAGTGCATATTGTTCAAGCACAGTGATGGCAGCTGTTCTAAAGCCGGAGTAATAATAACGGAGTGCCAGACATGAATGATCTGCAAGATTTCACTTGAATTCATTCTATCATGTTTATATGACTTAGTACTCGGACGATTAGAAGCGTTGATCAATTTTGTTTTTCTTTATATTATTTTAGATCGGGATGAATGTCTTGATGGTACGCATGATTGTGATACCAATGCTGCATGTTCCAATACAGAAGGGTCCTTCTCCTGTACATGCAATGATGGCTACATGGGAAATGGAGCAATGTGTACAAGTAAGGCATTTACTTTTTCAAACTTAATTTCAACCTCACTTTATTGGTCAAACTTTTGAAAGGAAAGAGACATAATAGTCCAGGAGAAAAAAAAATTATAGGTTGATGCAGGGCTTGAACAAGATTTGAAATATCCGCCAAAAATTTAGCATAAATAAATTGATTTCAAAATAGAAATAATAGTAATGTATTCTCTCTCTCCTATCCCATTCAAGTTCTCCTCCAGCTGACATGGAAACAAACTACACAAAATTATTTTCTTTTATTCTTTTAGGCATAATTTTTTAGTTTTTTTATTTTCGGCCCACAACCAGACTTCACAATTACCCCAATACTATCATAATTTATTTTATTAAGTGATTGTATAACATTATTTTACAAGAATGTGGAGTAGGCCCTACGTTGAGGTAAGTTAAAGAGCCCAAAACAGCACAAATATTGAACTTTGTAGGAGATTTGGGTTGTCTGTCCGTCCGTCCAAATGAACTTCCAGTGAAATCCCTCACCTGCTGCTGCATTGATTCAGCCATCAAAAGTTAATCATCTGCAAACAACATTTTCATAGCACATCTTTCTTTACTGGTTCCAATAAAAAAAATCAACCATAGCAGGGTGCTACAAGAATTTTTTTCACCACTTGCCCTGTCGGGCAAGTGGGTTTTCAATTTACTTGCCCAAACAATATTTCCACTTGCCCAAAACTTTAAAGCGAAAAAGGACTCGAGGTTAAAGCATTTATTATCTCGTAATGATAAGTTAGTGTTTTAGATAGCAAATTAATGCACATACATGTACAGTGTAACTGTACTGAATAATAACCTAATATGTCAAAGAAAATGGTCAACAAAGGATGGTTGAAGGTTTAAAAAACGCATTTTATTGATTCTCCATAAATAATCAGATTCACATGAATCTCGGCAAGGTAGAATGGTTCAAGCAGGTTTAAGTTTTTAATATTCAGTCATGTAAAAAAGCATAATGACCCTGTTGTAAAAAATATGATACAAACATGTCATTAATGGTAGCCACATGTACCATGGTGCAACATCACATGTGTGTCTGTGCAAGCCGCTGTCATTTGGAAACGTAGGCTAATTTTCAGCTGTTAATAATTTGGGTCAACTCTTCCATCAAGAAACGTCATGTAAATAATGGGTAATCAACTATTTTAAATAAAGTACGGACATTTTTATTTCATCATTCACTGCTATAAATATCATGCCAAAATTTGTAAATTCTTACTAAATAATAATATTGAAGATATTTTACGATAAATCTCGGATAAGTATGCGAAAACTAGACTAAACAACGTCGCTAAAACCATGAAAACAAAACAACAACGGCTTATATTCTGGGGGTCTCGATACTATTATCAAAATGACTCGCTCGGTCGGATCTTGAGACCGCAGTAATAAATTGAAAACGAGACAAAAACATTCATCTGATTTATATGAGCAGCGAGTTTTAAATAATATGTTCACAATCATTAACAGTCATTATGAATAAATATCAAACATTTGACTTTTTGTACTTACTAGAAAATCCCTGTTGTTTATTCCATTCCGATTCGCACGTGTTCATTTCCCTAGAATAATGACGTCATATTTGGCGTGATTCAACCAATCGGCAATCAGAGAATAGCAAAGGCCTGTCGGTGCGGCCTGCAGAGCTAGAGAGAGAGAGCGCGAATAAGCTCGCAGCTGGTACGATCGCGCTAGCTGTCTCTAGCTAGCTCACGGCCGGCCGTGCGTGGAGGCGGAGCGGCATTCATGGCTTGAAGTGTCACTGTTGCATGCGCGCTGAGCTAGCTGAGCTGGCTAGCTGTCTGTGAAGTTTTTTCGAAATCGGAACGATCGCTTTTTTGCTTCTGGATTTTGACGACGGGTAAGAAGTTGACGGGTGAATGGTAGAGTTCTTGGACACTAGGAAATTACTGTAAAAGTATCACTTGCCCGAATCGGGCAAGTGATAATTTGATTTACTTGCCCGACGGCTCAATTTGGTTGCCCCGGGACGTCGGGCAAGCGGGTTTGTCGCGCCCTGCATAGTAGTGAGCAGCAGTGGAGATAAGACCGATCCCTGACGAACACCCACTCCAATATGAAAAACTCTGAGAGTACCCACTTTCACATCTCACTCTTTGTTCTTGTTTATGTTGTGTGTACTCCTCATATAGATATCGATGAGTGCCTTTCTACTTCCCCATGCCACGTCTTCGCGAATTGCATGGATACAAGTGGCTCTTTCAATTGTATGTGTATGCCAGGATTCTCTGGTAATGGCTTCAGCTGTGTAGGTACGACATTGCAGATTCATTTATTTTCTAATTCCTTAAAGAAAAGCACACATTTTACGTATTAAATGCAAATACATACAAATGTAAAGACATTTACATTATGCGAGATATAATATATGAGAGGAAAAAAAAAGATTCAACAGAATATGCGCGGAAATGCTCTAGTGATCGGAAACCTGTCATATAAACTGACTTTGTTGAAATTAACTTCTGTATACGATGATGTTGTCTACAGGTAGTATGCCGCTCCTTTCGCTGTATAATAATACTTTATAGTTTATACAACATTTCTTAATACCATTTTCGTTTATTTTTCCTTTATTCTGTACATGCTATAAGAATTAATCCATCCAAACGTTCACTTTCTTTAAAAGATAATAATGAGTGTGATCAATCTCCTTGTGATGAGAATGCTGCATGCAACAACACAGATGGGTCCTTCTCATGTACCTGTCTTGAAGGTTATACTGGGAATGGTCTAAGTTGCTCAAGTAAGTAGATACAATATTTAAAGGGGAAGTCCACCCTGAAATTAAGTTAGTTTTAATAGGAGTAGAAAAATGAGAGAAACAAGTCAGTGAAAGTTTGAGCAAATTCCGATTAAAAATAAGGAAGTTAGGATTTTTGAAGTTGTGATCAATCAAACACAAATTGGCAACTCTATGACGTATCATGCGAGCTCAACTTCCATTTGCTCAGTACTAAAAAAATCTAAAATTTTAATTTTCCCTCAAGAAAAATTTCAACCATACATGCACCCTAAATATAATAATTGCAAATATGTTTCTATACTCCCCCTGCAAGGAACAAATATATATTCCGTCATCAATAACGAAGAAAACATGATTTTTATGGAATATTATGCACAAAGCAAATGAAGGAGAGCTCGTATAATAAGTCACAGAGTTGCCAATTTGTATTTGATTGATCACAACTTCAATAATTCATAACTTTCTTATTTTCATTCAGAATTTGCTCAAACTTTCACTCACCTGATTTTCTTATTATTCTGCCTCTATCGAAACAAACTTATTTTGGGGGTGGACTTTCCCTTTAAAAACAAATATCTCTCTCTTTCTTTCCCCCTCTCCGGATTCATTTCTAGGTTCACCAGCCTTTTTCAGGCATTTACTCACAAAAGAATACCTCTCTCTCCTTTTACCTCACAACTTCTCTCCTTTTACTTCCATCTCAACAATTTCAAGTAGTCATCAATAGGACTAAACACAAAAGAACAGTTTACTCTCCTATAACTGCTCTCAATCTCTTTGTAGTCGCATATATTAAGACAAAGATGTCTATATCAATACAAGATTATGGTTATTATTTTATTTTTTACTCTTGTATAATATCTTGAATGTATTATGTTTTTTATCATTTAATATTTAACCTCTCAATGTAGCTTTTAGTTGTAACAATTGTTACATTTGATAAACCATGTCAATTCAATTGACATTTTTAATCTGCATTTTCAATGGATATGTGCTGAGGATGAAATATGAATGTATTACATTGATGAAATTTTCATTTCATTTACTTATTGAATTATTTTATGTATTCAAATCATGTAAAAAAGTCTATGAATATAAATATTAAAGTAACAATGATTATCAATTAATCATATAGTGTTTATACTCTTTTTAATCTCTTTATTGCTGTCAATAATTCTTGTCTGTCAGTAATAGACCGGTTTGATAATGAATATATATTTGTGCAGAACCCCTGGTTAATAGTTATTTAAGTCAGGGCCTATGTATGGCTATACTTTTGATGGAATCAAATTTGCATTCAGTATTTGTTGCCATGTCTTGAAAGCCTATGGCAAGCATCTGAGTTGTCAGCATAAAATTAGCAAACAGCTCTATTGATGAACAGAGCATGTATATGTATGTATATGCGTGTGTATTACATCATCATAGGCTTAATTTCAGTGAAACCTGCTTTTCATAGTGACCACCTGAATAGAAAGGACATATACAGAAAACCAATCCATCGTGACATCAGCTCCTGCTCTGTTGAAGTCTCTACTCATAACAATTAGGAAAAAAGTATTTTCTTTCAAAACTTTAGGAAATCCCTTTAGACCTATCTTCGCTTGCAGTTATTATATCTTTCTGCATTATGTTTATGTTATCCAATATAATGTAAAACACCTAGAGAATTGAATTGTAATTGTTATGCACGAGATACAATTAAATTACAAATTATTTTTATAATCGACCTCATTTTATGGTTCTCTTCAATAAAGTTTCTCAATGAAACATAAACAAAAAAGAGTAGTTATACATGTAAAGGCTGCTTTTCTTGAGTATTCTTTGTAGACAGGTCTCACTGTATGATGTTCATATTGTCATTTAATGTAGATATCGACGAGTGTGAAGTAGACCCGCCGTGTGGTGTGTATGCTGACTGTTCAGACAATGAAGGTGCATTCACATGTTCCTGTATGCCTGGTTTCCAAGGTGATCCCTACGCGGCATGTACCGATATCATTGAGTGTCAGAATCCATCCTTGTTCACATGCCATCAACTAGCGTCTTGTGTGAATACTCTTGGAAACTATTCGTGCAAATGCAACAATGGTTACGAGGGAGATGGGATATCCTGCTCAGGTATAGATCATGAAGATAATGACAATAATGATAAGAAGAAGGGGAAACAAAGAAAAATAAGGATAATGGTAGTTATAATAATGACAATAGTAATATTAATATCAATGATGCTGATAATACTAATGATAATTATAATTATATTAATTGCAATAATAATAATCATAATAATAACAATAGTAATATTATTTATGATAATCATGGTAATCGTAACTATAATGTTGATAAAAACAATAATAATTACAATGATGATTATGATAATAGCTCAATGACTTGAATACCATGATTACGAACATGTAGTTGTATACAAATACATTTTGATAAATAATCTTTTCAAAACTTATTAAGAGTAACAAGCTTTGCAGTTTACATCCAATGTACATCCAAAAATAATCTGTAATTGATATTGTATCCTTTCATTTCCCATCCAATGTATGTCTATGGATATGTAGATCAAGATGAATGCAGTGATGTCCTTCAATTCTGTGGACCAAACAGTAACTGCACTAATCTGGAGGGCTCTTATGAATGCATGTGCTCCGAAGGTTATGTGAGGGAGAATATGGATAGCAATTGTACAGGTATGGTATCTTTTTACAGGGATGGTAAATAACAAAAATAATATATGAATCTTATATTAAGTATGGAATTCATATGAATACATCATATGAATTAACTCTGTTTTTCACAATTTGTTCTACTTTTTGACAACTTTCCTACCTACGGATATCGTTTTCGCATCTTTAAACAATTTTTTTTTTTAAATCAGGCGTACAGTTACAAAGTCACATGACCTTTTGTCTTCGCATGTCAACCCAACAATTGCTCATTTTTGTGATTTGTGTACAAAATATATGGAAATGTCATATTTCCTAAAAAAGAGATAAAACATTGGTTATTGGGTCTTGTTTAAAATTTAGGTGTTTGTTTTGGGAGTCAAAGTAGTTAAATTGTAGTTAGAAATAAAAAACAATGAATTACAAAAGTTGAAAAAACAATGAAATACATAAGAAATTATCAAAACAAGAGATAACATAAGGAATAATCTAGCTCTTCCAAATTTATCGTCATAATATTGTTTCAAATGGTCTTACAAATACATGTAGTAACATAAAAATGCTTAAATATAAAGAATATATGATTCATGGGTAAAAAGGTGAATTTTATGACCTTATTTGTATAAATTGCCATAAATATGCAAATGAGTGAATTTTTCAAAAATTAATTTTACTATTCTATTCACTTCACTTGACATTCGTGCACATTTTTTCGGCGATCGGCCGAAATCTTGGGGGGGGGGGGGGCGTAATGCCCCCCCCCCCCCCCCCCCCCCCCCCCCCCGGCCATCTTATGACCTCAAATAGCCGGGCCTTTTTAGAATCTCTAGTAGTAAAACTACCCATCATTCTTGGGAATACAATAGAATACAGGAAAACCACAAAATAAATGGATCATTCTGACAGAGAAAATATTAGTAGTTTGAATAAGGGGAAGACTACAGAGGCTCTGTATTATTTCCTGTATAAATCAATTTGTTATTATTATCATTATTAATATTGTTATTTATATCATTATTCCCGACAGATTTTAATGAATGTGACAACGTCCAAAACACCTGTCCTCCAGACATCTCTTCGTGCGAGAACACAGGAGGTGATTTTGTGTGTACATGTACTTCTGGGTACCAGAATGATTCACCCAAGACCTGCATTGGTAAATGATATGGAATTACTATGTTTTTGTATTATCATTGTAAGTAAGGAGGATGCTCGGGAAAATTAGAATAAGTGGAGGGAGAGAGCGTCATCATGGCGCGAAAGCTAGTAACCCCTTGTAAGAGGGAAAATGCTGACCTTGGTCAATGATGATGTACAGTTTAAACGAGAAGGTCCCTTAGTTCTTGCTGTACCGCCTGCAAATACATGTACATGTGACAAAGAGACTGCATGTACATGTACAGTTAACAACTAAATTATTCATCCCTTACAAAGTAAAGTATAAAGTTTTGTGATGTTATAAGTATGTGAACAAATTGATTACTAGAATTTGGCAGTTATTTAAAAGCATTTGCAGTCAAGCATACTGCATGTACATGTCCAGTATAATTATGGTCGCCAATCTATATCTCTGCTGGTGCTAGAATATGAATCATGCATTCTAAATATCAAAGAGTTATTATATACCACTAGATGTACATGTATATACCACTAGATGTACATGTATATACATTGTTTGAGAAAATACAAAATTTGTTTAGGATCTTTTCTTGTACATGTCCAGTATCATTATGGTCGCCAATCTATTTCACTGCCGGTGCTAGAATATGAATCATGCATTCTAAATATCAAAGAGTTATTATATACCACTAGATGTACATGTATATACATTGTTTGAGAAAATACAAAATTTGTTTAGGATCTTTTCTTGTACATGTCCAGTATAATTATGGTCGCCAATCTATATCACTGCCGGTGCTAGAATATGAATCATGCATTCTAAATATCAAAGAGTTGTCATATAGGCCTCCACTAGTAGTACATGTATATACATTGAGAAAATACCAAATTTGTTTAACATCTTTTCTCATTTTATCATCAAACAGTGCTAAATGAGTGATGAACAGAAACGTGAAGGACTACCCCAAAAAACAAATTTACACTTTACAATAATTGTCTATTTTGAAGAAATTGAATATACCTTTTTTAGGAACTGTTGTTAACATTAGACAAAGTAAATTAATTCCCTACAACTTCTGTACACATAACAAGATAATTATAGGTGTTTGAAATTATCCCATTGCATACGGGAACAGTTATCCAAACTCTCTTCAGAGGCAACAGGTAAAGTCTTTTTGTAAAATCTTGATACCAGCAATTATTTCAAGTGTAAGACACTGAAAAATTGTATAGCCATACAAATACTGCAAATATATGTTTGAATATCTGTACAGGGCTTAGAATCATCACCGGGGTATTAAGCTATATGCAAACCACAAATATCATTATTTTTATTACTATTATGAATGGCGGTCCTTATGAATAATGGTCCTTATGAATAGCGGTCCTTATGGATATCGAGCTTGATCCATTATTTGTATTACCTGCTTCCCCATTTAGACAAAGATGAGTGCGCAGAAAGTACTCCTGTCTGTAACATGAGTCGAGAATGCATCAACACTGTGGGAGACTACAGGTGTATCTGCACTGAGGGCTTCACTGAAATTGAAGGAATCTGTGAAGGTAATTATAATAATATTCAGCATTTATATAGCGCTTTATACATCTCGGACGTCTCTAAGTGCTTTACAGATATACTATTACCCCGGTCATTGGATTCAGTGCATGCCCGCACACACAGTGTGCACAATCTCCACTACCTGGGGAGCATTACAGCCAGACGTGAATTGACATTCAAAAACAGTTTGACCAACAATGACGGTCGCATCCTACCGGGGGGGGGGGGGGGGGGGGGGGGGGGGGGGGGGGGGGGGGGCTTAATAAGCATAAATTACCATAAATATGCAAATAGTGAATTTGTCTAACAATTGAAATTACCATAGTATTCTTTACACTTCACTTGACATGCATGAAAGTTATCACTTTTTAGGGGAAGGGGCAACCCCCGCCTCCCGGGCTATGCAGTTTCAAAATAGCTTTGGCTATATAGGGTCAAACCAACACGATATATACTTGTGGACTTCCCCTTCAAGTAATTACAAGAACTAATGAAAAACAAAGTTTTATTTTTTAATCATATTTTAGCGTCCTTAACCTTGCAACTGAGGGTAAGATTTGAAGCCATTCTCGGTGCCTTAATTGCTGCCAATCCATCTTTTATCGAACCTGCTACAAATCAAGAGCAACTTGAACGTGACGTAAGTCAATTCCATATGGACTCACTATTGACTAAATAGTAGTCTGTTCCACTTTCATTTTTGTTTGTTAAGTGTACTAATCACCTACAACTGTAATTTGTCTACAGCTAGATTGCATATAATCAACATCAAATCGACCTAACCCGGTAATCTGTAGGCCAGCAGATTAGAAGTATGAACAAAATGCTTTCTTTTGATAATGTTGTCGTTGTAGTTGTTTGCCAAGGCATACAGGTATTGGACGTGTATACAGGTCATGCAAATTTGTACAGATAATGCACATTTGTTTAAAATATCTTAATTTGTTACATTACTTGAATAAAAGCAACTCTAGCATTCATGTTTCTGATTTAGTCTCTGTCTTAGAATAGACTTTTTTTTTTTATCCATTTCTGTGTGTGAATCATTTACAAAATGTGATATATATATATATGTGATGTATGCAAAATATGAAACAATAAACTGAAACTGGAAAAAGAGAATAGATCAAACTGCATGCAGCCTCTATTGTATCACAACTTGTACATGCGCATCACCAGTCACTTTTATGTTTATTGAGAGTGATTATAAACTAGAATTATTTTTTTTTCAGAACCAATAATTGAAGCTTATACTTTGAATAATATAGTGAGATGGAAAATAGTTTTGGGGGATTGTTATTACACTTTAGATACACCTGTATATATTGTGCCTTGTTGTGTGCATTCACAGGTGACAAGAATAAAAATTAAACACCACCTCTGGAAAGAAAGAGATTTTTTGTTACACCTTTACTTAGATTTAATTGCCATATCTTCTAGAATTGTCTCCCTGCTCAAGTCACAGAAGTAAAGTCCTTTTTAACAGTAGGCTGAACAAAAAAATGAGACTGAAATCTTTTTTAAGGATTAACTCTGATTTCCCCCCAAATTCACCCTCCTAAAAAACAGTACTAATTGATCTAGTTAAAATCATAATGATAATAATGGTTTCATATTACAGAAGAGAATATGGGCTTCACGAGAAACTAAAGGTCTCCCCATTCCCCCTCCCTGGAAAATTTTGTTTTTGACTTTTGAAGAACATGCAATTTCATGTGAATGTGTGTCATTTTATCTTTAGATGCTGATGTTTCTCCAAGGCATTTCAGAACTTGGGGAATCTGTTTTCATGGCTACAATATCACATGTGAATGTGACCAGTCCCTATGCTGTCATAGACTTCAGGACAGATGTTGAAATAACACTAAATATCAACGACACAGTATTGGAATCGTTGTTCAACAATGCTCTACCAAGTAACCAGCGCTTTGGAGTTTTAGGAGCCGAAAGTATAGTCAATCAAGAGGGTAAGGACGGCATAAAGACACATAAGCAAGAGTTTTCCTTGGGAATTGACCGTACCATTTGGGTATTTCCCCTAATATAAGAGAGGGATGGGGAATTTCTTTTTGGCACGTTGAATCCGCTGTGTGCGATACTTCTGCCCAAATTAATGCAACTTCCATCAAGTCCGTGTCAGATGTAGCATTTATGCCATACTATAGAAACTGCAGACCATATCTCTTTAAAGGGCAGTCCAACTTTTGCAATGAGTTTTGTTTCATGAAGCAGAAAAATAAGAGAAACACAATGGTGAAAGTATGATGTAAATTGAAACAATAAGAAAGTTACAAGTGTTTGAAATATGAGATCACTACATCCTTGCAAATCACAATTGGGCAGTCTGGTCAGGGGCTTGTCAGATATATTTATTGTACTCAAATTGAAGTTTCCATGAAAGCAACATACATTTTTATTGTTACTTAATTTACATGGGAATTATACATAATTTACGGCCCAATAATGTGTGGAGGGAAAAGGAATAATGTTGGAATACTGTAAACTGCAAAGGATTAAACCTGAACATGATAATGTGTTTTATATTGTTGTTTTTCTTGCTGCAGATGTTGATGAATGTGCCGATGATCCAGTCCCGTGTACTAACGGAATGTGCACTAACACCATTGGGTCTTTCTTCTGTACTTGCAATGACGGATATATTGAAAACGGAGCAAGAACTGCTTGTATTGGTATGTAAAAGGGAATTTTGTAACAAAGAAAAACATGCATAAACATATCACTTTGGTATTAATATTCATTAACACCTGTTTATCAAGGCTACCAAAGGGAAACAGGAAAATTGGCAACTGTAGACACTATGCCTATCAAGAACAGTTCTTTAACACATACCATTATTATGTTGGTTTGGTTAATGTAAAAGCACATCAAACAAGCAGCTCGCAGTCTGAACATTTTCAAGTTACAAACAAATTTAGAATATGAAAAACAAAAATACATATTATAAGTTAACTTTTGCAGAAATTATATAGCATTGATCAGATAAAATCGAAATCGCAAAACGAAATAATTTGTTTGATTTAGTAAACTAGTAATACACTTTTATGTTGAAAGACCAAGATTGTGAAAAGGAGAGAATGGAGAAGAAAAAATGGAAACTTGTTTTGAGTGAAATAGTTCAGAAAGTATTTAACAATTGATCTAAACATTTATATTTCACAAATTGAAATTAAGCATAAAAATATGTATTGGAAGAGATGAAATTAAACCGTAAAAATTCAGTTTTTCACTTATAGATGTAAACACAGCTTTCATCTAAATCAAGAAAGTTGTTCATAAAATTAGAATGAGATTTAAATAACAATATTGGGTAATTTCGTATAAAATATTGCACATTATATTGGAGAAAGAAGCCCAAATTAAATATTTGGCAAGGGCATAAAATTGCAGTAACAATTGAACACTAATGATTTAATGAAACAACAGATCAAAATGTGTTCACAGTGTGATGCAATCTGAGAGTAAATTGAAATAAAAATGTATGTAGCAAACGTAACATGATAGCGTTTTGATTAAAACCAAAAAATGTACTGATGTGCATGAAAAAAAGAAAGTTGTATGTCTGAGCAAATCAGAGGTCAAAAGGTATTTAACAATGGCTATTGCTATTGTAAAATGTAATGACACCATTAATCTGTATTTCTGCCTAGAGGGAGGCATTATAAGTGCCCACTTAAGACAGGTGGACTTCATAGAGAGGTATCCACTAAGGCAGGCAGGGTAATTGCCATGGGTAATAAGCGAGTTCGTAATTAGGATTTGCGCATGGGCAGATCAAGGTCATTCGTACCCAAATTGTAAAACCATTGAGACGAATACTCGGATCGTGCTCATGAAAGTTATTCATTTATGTACCGACAGTACATTTATCTGATACACAGGTGGAAGTATTCTTCTCAAAAGGGCAAACAAAAGGTATTCATGAAGCACCTCCATCACTTCATTATTCTAAAATGCACAAGTGGGACGTATCCATAGTGTAAAAGATCTGAGGATATTTGGGGGTCATGCGTTCCAGAGCTATTTACGAACTCGCTTGTTGTGCTGGAGCAGTTGCAGGGGGTAACTGTCCAGGGGTTAAATGTCCTTGTTGAGTATCTATCATTCGGTTGTTATACTGTATGGATTTCTTGATTCCTTTTACCGCCAGATATTGATGAATGCGAAGATGATTCCACCCTCTGTACTAATGGAACATGCAATAACACCGCCGGTTCTTATACTTGCAACTGTGACGCAGGGTTCCAACTAGATGGCACTGGTGTCAATTGTAATGGTATGTTTTTCTGAATTTTGCTTCTTTCATGTAGAGTTGCTTTCTTGCTATAAAGGTGGAATTCCCCTATAATTAATCCATCTTTACACAATCCCCCTCCCCCCAACCAGTTACCATCCCAAATTCAAATCTGCTTCATCGTCTCTTAATTAAAATATAATGAATATTTTATCTTACTCTAAAAAACGAAGACGTACATTCAAATGTAATCCTACATGTATTTCATGTAAAGACACATTCCTTACATGTAATTTATTTTTCAGTGTAAAAATTTGATGAAGTGTATCAAAATGTTGAAAGATTTCATCTTCTAACTGATACCGTTGTCTCCTGTATAGACATTAATGAGTGCGATGCTGGGAATCTCTGTGCCAATGGAATATGCCGAAATAACGAGGGATCATACATGTGCTCATGCATTCCTGGATTTGCAGTAGATTCAACAGGAACTGAATGTCAGGGTAAGTATATCTTAAATTCAGTGTTTTTCCTCTATAAAAATATATCAATTTTTTAAAGAAACACAATCATTTTGGCCAATGTATTTTTCAATATTTGAATTTTTAAAATTTTATCATTCATATATTATAGTCACTGCAACTTTTTTTGTAACGGCATGCAGGATTGACGCCTCAAGAAAACCTTTAAGGTTTTTATGCCACCAAACCTCTTACTTTCATTTCTTTGTTAATTATGTTGCATAATTTTCCTTTCTTCTCCTTTTTTTCTGTTTTATTTATTTCTCCACAGGTATTTATTTGAATTTTATCTGTTTGAATTGTAATTTTAATGGAATTGTGAAAAAAAATAAAGAGGTTGACAATTAAAGAATGTTGAAGCTAAGATCAACAGTTTCAACGACATCACTAATAACATCTCTTGTTTTGTTTTGTTTTTGTTAATTGCAAAGACAATTTGTGTCCATGTAAAGTCACACCAATTTTGGGTAAGGTATTTTGATCGTAGGGCTTTTTTGTGAGGAAATTTTGATTTCAAAATTGGCTAGTTTTGCAAAACAAAGGACAGATTCATGACTGCTCTTGCTTTGTGATGCCTCAGTCACATTTGCCACAGCAGTGGTAGGGTCTTAAATATATAAGGCCAATAGTAATTATAGGTCCGCTGCAACATTCTCACGGTCATATACTGTAGCAGTCACATATGTTAGCGTAGCAGCACAGCTTAATTTTATTTTGTGGAGACAGAAATCTGTGGCTGCAGTGAGGCATGAATACGGGAGGCGTGCCGGGGCCCTGTGTTGCCCGCAGGGTGTGGCACATACTGCAAGGCCACCATGTGCCCGACGTATGGTTTGCCTGGAACCGCTCCACGGCACGGCAAACCTAGGAATGAATAAGTTATAACTAGGACTATAACCCTACGGCGACCCATACAGCCTGTAAAAGATAGGAAACGCCTATGGCTGCCGTATCCTAGCATAGATCATACGTGACTGAGGCATCATCAAAGGCAACATAAATGAAAATCAATACCTAACGTGTTTCTATAGAAAGCCATCGAACATAGTTTTCTCTCTGCACCTAGGCTGTTGCAAAAGTAGCACATTTGAAATAGGATATTGCCTCACAGAAATAGCCCCTGAATACAAATTTACATCATAAAAATTGATGATCTTGAAGATGATTTCCTTCCCAATAAAAGAAAAAAAAAATGTATTTGTAATTTCGTCCACAAATCTGATTGAAATTACAGATGTCAACAGAAGCATTATTTTGGGCCATCTTGTGTTCAGTATTCTTTGTAATGCCTCTGCAAAAAAAAAAACAGTGTTATATGTTTTATCTGGTTGTCCGTTCATCCGTACATACGTCCGTATGTCCCCTTCTCGTGATCAAGAACCGATTGATGCATTACCGTCAAACTTAGGTCATGTATGTATCTTACAGAGCTAATGAACTGATTAGATTTGTGTGTCACGAGGTTAAAGGTCACAGTGCTTATTATGTATGCAAAAATAGCTTGTGATCTTGTTATCTCAAAACCTGATCGATGGATTACCACCGAACTTGGGTCATGCATGTATCTTGTAAAGCCAATGAACTGATTTTGGGGTCACAAGTTCAAAGGTCACAGGGCTCATTATGTTTGCAAAAATAGCTCCTGATCGTGAACCAATTGATGGATTACCGCCAAACTTGGTGAACTGATTAGATTTGGGGATCATGAGGTCAAAGGTCATGGGGCTCATTATGTATGCAAAACTAGCTTGTGAACACATTGTCAATACTGACGGATGGATTACTATCGAACTCAGGACAGAGCCAATGAACGGATTAGATATTAGAGCCATAAGGTAAAGGTTCAAAGGGTCATAATTACATATGAAAAATAACTTGTAATCATGATATTCTGAGAATGTGTTGCTTCTTATTTGTTTTGTAAAATTGCTGTATGGCGGAGGCATCATTTTTAACTGCATGCATTCAGACATCCATCTAGTAGGTAACAGGCACAAAAGGATGAATTATTAAATGTCTACTTAACTTTAGCTGAGGTGCCACCAAAAGGCTCTTATGAAATTTAGACATTCAGAATATCAATTCAAGAGTTCAACTGTTGAATATAAGTTGTGTTTGTGAAAATGACTTTCTCTGAGTCAATTAAAATTGACATACTTCAGTTTTACTTTAATCACTATTATTAGTTTTCTATTTTAATCAATATTATCATTTTACTTAAATCGTTTTCGTCAATAGTATACTATTTAAATAATGGTGTTATTATTTGATCTCAATCATTTTAAGTACCTATGCAGAATAAAAGGTAACTGAATAAATATTCAATCTCTCAAGATCATAATACTTAAACAGCTAATTATGACACGTTCTTCTCGAAATTGTCCCTGATTAGACGTTAATGAGTGTGATGACGATTCCTCCTTGTGCGTCAATGGAACATGCAACAATATCATGGGGACATTTAGTTGTGACTGTAACGCCGGATATGAGAAGAGTATCAACGGAAAGGCTTGTAATGGTATGCTGATATTTCTTTATATGATTTTCAATTAGACAGCCACACTTTTTTTCACGAAAGAATGCTGTGGTTTGAAACTCTCATTCAGAACGTCTCTACAGAAGAATACAACAAATTCTTCCCAGAACTACACGCTTACATTTCTGTGATCTGCTTACAACTTTCTCAATCTCGATCACTCCTTCCTTTCCTTTCCTTTCGCTTTCCATTTCACCTATAAATTATAATACATGTACTCTATATTTTAAAAACAATGTATATGATATTCCAAGTGACTGTATAGTATCTACTATCTAGTTGTTGATACTACCCCTCAATGGAAGGGTTCATTACCCCCCCCCCCCTTAGAAATTCATTGATTACCATGCAACTGTTGAAGACTGTATCCAGCCCTCTTATCACTTTTGTATTTCAGGTGTTGCATACATTTTTTAATCAAATTTGTAAAAACCCTGACAATTTCTTGAAGGTTAGACACATTTTTGTGATTGCATGTTATTAGGCCAACTTTGAACGAAGTGCCATTTTCCACATGTTTTTCTACAAATACTGCTTTCACTAAATTTCACGGCTTTAACCGGGCTATTTCAGACCAAGTTTTTAACGGGGGGGGGGGGGGGTCGATTTGACCCCCTCCCCCCTAAGGTCTCGGCTGTTTCACGGCCGATCGCTGCAAAAATTTGCATGGTAACTTCGATTTTTGGAAAAATCCACCCATTTGCATTTTTTATGCAAATAAGGTCATACAATTCAAATTTTTGCCCATAAATCATTAATTATTCATATTTAAGCATTCTTTTTCACTACATATATTCGTTAGACCATTTGGAGTAATAATGCGACAAACAAAATTGGAAGATCCAGCTTATTTCTTATGTTATCTCTTTTGATAATTTCTTAAACTTCTTAAACTTATGTATTTTATTGTTTTGTTGTTTTATTTTTTATTTCTAACTACAATTCAACTATTTTGACCCCAAAACAAACACCTAAGCTTTAAAAAATAACAAATAACCAATGTTTTATCTCTTTTTAGGAAAAATGATATTTCCTTATGTTTTGTACACAAATCACAAAAAATGAGCAAATTTCGGGCTGACATGCAACGACAAAAGGTCATGTGACTTTGTAACTATACATCAGATTTTCAAAAAAATAGTTTAAAAAAAATTGTAAGACTTAAAAGAAAAAAAAGTCATGAAAGAAAAAATTTATATCTGCCGCGGTTCTGGAGTAGTCGCTAAATTGTTCCCGGGGGGGGGGGGGGGGGGGGTCAAATTACAACATGTATGTATTCATGGGATATTGCTTTTCTATTGAGACCAACATTACTATGATAAAATGAAATGAAAAGATCAATGGATTACTTCTTTTCTTCTGTTTTCTTTCCCATATTTAGACATCAATGAGTGTGCAAACCTTCCAAACCCATGTGAGAATGGAACCTGTAACAATATGGACGGGACTTATGGGTGTACCTGTGACACTGGGTTTCAGGCCAACGAGAGCGGTACTGCCTGCAATGGTAAGATTCTTACCACTAGCAAACAGAAGGGCATCAGTTATTACCTTTATCACAAGGTTAATGTCTGTATGTCTGTCTAGTTAAAACGATATCTCAAGAACCACTTCAGAAATGAACTTCAAACTTGAAGATAAATTTGTATCACTAAAGGAAGACGGTCTGAATAGATTATGGAGTAACTAGGTCAAAGGTCATTAATGAAATTCCTGGTATTTGCCTCGTTATAGCGATATCGCGATCTAGAATCACTAGAGATTTGAGGCACAAAATTGGTGATATTATGTATTACCCTATAAAGACAATCTAGTTGAATTTCTAGTTTAATAGGTCAAAGGTTACAAAGTTCAATTTCAACATTTTTAGATATAGCCTTTTTGCAATTAAAAAAAAAAAAGGACCACAGGAGATACGAGGCTTAAACTTGGTGATAATGTGTATCACCATATGAAGATCTGATCAGATTATTGGTTCAAAGGTCATAGAAGTCAGTTCATGAATTTACAGGTTTTAGCCTTGCTATTGCGATATCTTAAGAACCATAGGAGATGGGCTTTTTGTTTTTAGTGTGATATTTCATGGATAAATCCAGCCATTTCCTATACCTTTAGAGCGGATGCATATATGAGACGCAGTGGCATTTGTGCTCTTTTTTAACATATTTTTTATTCTTTCCTAGACATTAATGAGTGTGCTGGTGATGATAATCCCTGTGTTAATGGAGAATGCACTAATACCGATGGATCTTACATGTGCACCTGTGGCAGCGGCTTTAGATTAAGTGTGGATGGCAGTACATGTGAGGGTATGTACATGTACCCGAAACTTCCACCTTTGATAACATATAACGTCGGTGGGGTGACAAAACCTTGTATCTCAAAAATCATGAATTTTCAGGAGAGCAGAAAATTATTTCCTGTCTCAACAGACTTAGTGCTGTGACACCGTCCTTTGTGTGGAATTTGTGAAAAAACCAAGACAGGAGGCGTTCCATAGATTTATCAGGTGGTGTCGTAGGCCATCAGGTACACAATTATGAAAAAAATCAAAATCTCAAAAATTGAGATACAAGGTTTTGTCACCCCACCGACGATAAAGAGAACGTATACGTTTAATAACTAATGAGCTTTCTCATTCTTGTTATGTTGTTGTGGATGAATATCACCAAAAATAATTCCCCTGAAAGGATGGCTTTCCAATTCCAAATGCCATATTCAAATTATGCCAAGAAATAAATAAAGGTTGTGGACCACACTTTCATGCCACATACTGTGTATTTCCATATGTATTTTTCTGTGTACAGTTCATGGTAATGGAACCTTATACCCGGCTGTATCTTAATGTCTGCTTTATCAGAATACTTCAAAGAATCCATCTCCTCAAGTACCCTTTTGGTGTTTTACTGGATATTGAACCCAACACCCATCTCAGTTCACATAAAAAGAGTAAAGGCTTGTATCAATATGAAGTAAACCCCCGCCCAAATGTATAAAGCAATGGCAACGTCGTGACTGAGGTCTTGCCCATATTCCCTGAAGCACTGTGTTATAAGATACAGAAATGTGACGGATAATACAAAAGAATGCTACTAGATTGGACATTACCAATGTTCTGGCAATTAATATTTTAGACGTAGGCAGCGAAATTGTACAGTTTTATGTTTACATAGAGGACATTACTCATCATTTAAAAAGTTTCTTCAATGTTTAACTTGTATCAGTAAGATATAAAGCTTCTCTCTCTCTCTGCTTTTTGGCACCAACCCCCAGTCAATGAATGTATCAGAGAATTATTAATGCACGACATAACTACAGCATCCCTAACACACATGAGCGTGACCAAATATTCTACAACTTTATTTTTTGTGTAGCTGAGTGTGGTGGAGCTGTTTGTCAGAATGGCGGAGCATGCACGAGCACTGACCAGTGTGATTGTGTTACCGGTTTTACCGGTACTCTGTGCGAGACTAGTAAGTACCCCCCCTCCCCCCTCCCCTGAAAAATATATATATATATATATATATATATGTTTAGTTTTAATAATGATAATAAATAAATAAAAATGACAAATAAATGAATAAATCAATGAATACAAATGAAAAAATATTAAATAAATTAGAGATATTTTGTTGGTAAATATATAATAAATCAGGTATATATTGTTACTGTAACATCTTAGGAAGCTTTGAAGCTACTTATAACAAACTTGGCCCAATCAGCTAGCATATAAGGATTACCCTATTAAATATTCTTTAGGTGTAAGAGGTATTAAAGGTCAAATTAGTTTTACAAATGATGTAATTTATTCCTGAACTATCATACATTTACATTTAAAATACCACTTAATACTTATTTTTCCCTTTCATCTGCCCAAAAAGATTGATCTGTCAAGATGGAAATTATTTTCTCGTCACTTTAATCCCAATTATTGTCTTTGCAACTCAATTTGCACAGATACCAACGAATGTGCTAGCACTCCTTGTATGAATGGAGGAGTTTGCACCGATGCAGTCAACTCCTTTACTTGTGCTTGTGCTGATGGCTATACTGGGACTCTGTGTGGAACAGGTAAGCTATAAGGTTGAATCATATTACATACCTACATACATGCACTTTTTATGTAGAGCAATTGCTTCTTACTAATTAGGAAATTGAAGATGAGGAGCAATCAAAATAATAAAAAGAAAGAAACATTTTAAAGGTCATTTACAGAGCAAGGATGATATTGTGATTCACACAACAATCTATATTAACAATCTGTGGTAGGGTATGATAAGAGTAGCCTATTTCATCCAGATAATAGCGATTCAATTTTTGGAGCTAAGGTGTCTTAAATTTTCACACCATGTAACGAACAGTTCTACGTCCATTTTAACATTAATTTCACTTTTCAGGAAGGGGCACATCAAATTTTATGAAACAATGAGATTTTCCACGTTTTATGGAACAGATACAAACATTGAAAGAGAAATCTAGTTCATGTACTCCATTTGAAGTATTTATAAATTGTTTTACAAAAGAAGTCATTCGTTCCTGAATTGTCATTATTTATATTTTCAATATCAGTTTTTACTTGATGTTTCTGTTATCCGCCAAACAATAAATCCCTAGAAATGAAAATTTATTCATTCATTTCATTTTTCTTGGAACTCAACTTGTACAGATATCAACGACTGTTTAAACACTCCTTGTATGAATGGAGGAGCTTGTACTGATGGAGTTGACAGCTTTACTTGTGTCTGTGTAGCTGGCTATACTGGGAGTACGTGTGACACAGGTAAGCTATAGCAGATTGCATACTTTATACATATATATATATACACTTTTATATGAGAAGCAAAACTGAATCAAATGAAAACTTTCTCCTTTCTTGTCAGGAAATTATGGATAAAGTGACAAACAAGCAAATATAAAATGAATAAAACATCTAGTAATTAGAAAGGAATTTTTGTTTAATAGGTTTTTATTGTTTCAGTGTCAACAGAAGTGAAAGTAAGGACAAAGTATGGGAGGGTGTTTTACACTCCTTTCTATTTCAAGGAGACAAATAGCAAAGTGGGAGTGCATGGTCATTTTAAAAAGTGGAGTGGATATCGTGATTCCCACAAAAAATCTCATTGAAACAATATCGCTGCTTACATATTATGTTATTTTTTTTCTGGGGAAAAGTATTGTACTATCAAATCCATTACTGTATTTCGGACATTGATATCATGTTTTTTGTTTTTGTTATTTTTTTTCAAGGGAGGGGGGGGGGGGGGCAGTCAGAGAGATTTCAAGGTAATACAAATTGTTGGTCAATGTAAAGAGATTTGATTTTTACAAAATTCCCTCTGGCAATCGAGATGATTATAAAAATGTGTAGATACTTAGCACGCTAAGTCAAAAAAAAAAAAAAATTAAAGCACATTTGTATATGGAATATATGTACACCTGAAATAATCCTATTCTAATTGTTTCATATCATTTTTTTTTTCATTCACCCGAATCAGATATCGCTGATTGTTCTCCTAATCCTTGTATGAATGGCGGAAGTTGTACTGATGGAGTTAACACATTTAACTGTGTCTGTGCTGATGGCTTTAGTGGAGATACTTGCACAACAAGTAAATAATCTTTAATCTTTACCTGAACAGTTGTTGTTTATTTTATTAATATGATAGTAGGTAATTTCATTTTGTAAACCGAGACATGACCATGACAATCAAAGCCAAGATCATTTTCGCTATCAATAATTTCTACATGTGGGACAGCACTTCAGATTTTATTTAAACACATTTGTGGCTTACACCCAGTTAATAAGACTGATTGATCGATCTGTATTGAAAAGCAAGTCAGAAAAATCTTGGAACCACCGGGACTTGAACCTGCATCTACTGCTTGCCTGGCAGTGACTCTACCACCAGGCAATCATCGGTGTTGAGCACCAAATATGTTTAAATATTTGAAATTTCTCCCAGAAAGCATTACATTTATAAAAGTTTAGATTTTGTTTTGACTTTATCCATACATGGATCTAAAACTCGGCTTGTGAAGATCACAAAGGTGTCTAAAATTACACTATGAGAATTAAATTAATTGTTGTTCTTTGTTCATATTTCACTGAAGTTATCAATCTTTGTACAAATAATAGTAAATAATTCTTCTGATGATTTTTAGTCAATACTCGCTTTAAAATGCTGAATATTTTCAGAGTTTTTTTTTTTTTTTTTTTTTTTTTTTTGGGGGGGGGGGGGGGGCTGCTAATGGGCCATCCTGCTTATAACCTATGTCCCAACCTCTTTCATCATATCGAAATGCGTAATGCAGGCAAGACCGCCGAGGGCATTTCCCTTGTTTCTCAAACATGCCTGGTCCAATGTGTCATGTATGGGATTTTAAGTTACTTTTTCTTAGCAGTTAGGTTTCCTAACAGTTCAATTTTTTAATTAAACAAAATGTACAGTTGATATTTGGCCAATAAACTATAGGTCCTTGCAAAGAGTTATGCCTTTGCCCTTGAGATTTTAGCCTTTTGACAACAACATCCTCCAATGTGCCTATGGGTTTACAAATCATTTATCATGTTCTCTTCTTTCTTTTTTCCAGCTGATTGTGGCTCCATTGTTTGCCAGAATGGCGGAGCATGCGTAAGCTCTGGACTATGTGATTGTGCTACTGGTTTTACCGGTACTTTGTGCGAGACTAGTAAGTACCCTGCCCCCTCCCCTAACAAGTAATACAAATAAAATAAATCAATAAACTACTGAAGATACATTTTTTTTTTGTTGACGAATGATAAAATAAAATAAGTATTAGGTGCCAAATTCACTTTAAAACAATTTAATTCTAAAGACTCAATGGTGCAAAACTTGGAAAAACATAAACATTCCAGTACAAAATACAATATAACACAAAGAGAAGAACAATTGGATCAACTTCGAGCAAACAGGAAAAAATAAGTTTTAAGGTTACTTTTTAAAGAATTTACTTTAGGGATATCTCTGAGCCCTCAAGGTACACTATACCAGAGTGATGGCCCCACATGAGCAAAGGCTCTATCCCCCACTTTGTATTATGTTTTGGAAGAACAAGCAATCCGGAGTTTTGAAAATGTAAATATCTGGCAAGTGTGTAGTAATTAATCAAAGAAATATTGTACAGTGGTGCAGAGCCATGAAAATAATGAAACATAAGGAAAAAAAGAATGACTTAAGTATATCCTATAAAAACCTAGATTTCTCAGTTGATTTCTGACTGACTATAAATACTAGACACATAAGTTGACAAGGACATAGAAGAGTTTAACATGACACCAAGGTTACGACGATGCGAGGAAGGACTGATTACTGAATCTGATATGGATATATTAAACGACTGTATTTTAGCAAAATTTGATTTCGAACTAAAAGTTAGTTCAGTTTTACTGTCATTCAGTTTGAGTGAGTTTGAGTCAATTCAAGTTTGCACGTTTTTGACGCAAGCTTTGAGTAGTTTGGCAATCCAACTTACATCATTTTGATTTGGAAGGAATAATGCATAGATCTAGAACTTATTTTCTCGTCACTTTAATCCCAATCATTGTCTTTGCAACTCATTTTGCACAGATACCAACGAATGTGCTAGCACTCCTTGTATGAATGGAGGAGTTTGCACCGATGCAGTCAACTCCTTTACTTGTTCTTGTGCTGATGGCTATACTGGGACTCTGTGTGGAACAGGTAAGCTATAAGGTTGAATCATATTACATACCTACATACAAGGACTTTTTATGTGGAGCAATTGCTCCTCACTAACTAGGAAATTAAAGATGAGGAGCAATCAAAATAATAAAAAGAAAGAAACATTTTAAAGGTCATTTAAAGAGCAGGGAGGATATTGTGATTCCCACAACGATCTCTATTAAGAATGTGTGGTAAGGTATGATAACAGTGGCATTTTTCATCCCGATTATAGCGATCAACTTTTGGAGCTAAGGTGTCTCAAATTTTCACACCATGTAACGGACAGTTCTGCGTCCATTTTAACATTAATTTCTTGTTTTCGGGAAGGGGCACATCAAGAATAATAGACCTTGATATTTTTCATGAAATAATGTCTTTTTATGGCCATGTTTTATGGAACAGATACAAACATTGAAAGAGAAATCTAGTTCATGTACTCCATTTGAAGTATGTATAAATTGTTTTACAAAAGAAGTCATTCGTTCCTGAATTGTCATTATTTATATTTTCAATATCAGTTTTTACTTGATGTTTCTGTTATCCGCCAAACAATAAATCCCTAGAAATGAAAATTTATTCATTCCTTTCATTTTTCTTGGAACTCAACTTGTACAGATATCAACGACTGTTTAAACACTCCTTGTATGAATGGAGGAGCTTGTACTGATGGAGTTAACAGCTTTACTTGTGCCTGTGTAGCTGGCTATACTGGGAGTACGTGTGACACAGGTAAGCTATAGAGTTAAAGCAGATTGCATACTTTATACATATATATATATACACTTTTATATGAGAAGCAAAACTGAATCAAATGAAAACTTTCTCCTTTCTTATCAGGAAATTATGGATAAAGTGACAAACAAGCAAATATAAAATGAATAAAACATCTAGTAATTAGAAAGGAATTTTTGTTTAATAGGTTTTTATTGTTTCAGTGTCAACAGAAGTGAAAGTAAGGACAAAGTATGGGAGGGTGTTTTACACTCCTTTCTATTTCAAGGAGACAAATAGCAAAGTGGGAGTGCATGGTCATTTTAAAAGTGGAGTGGATATCGTGATTCCCACAAAAAATCTCATTGAAACAATATCGCTGCTTACATATTGTGTTATTTTTTTTCTGGGGAAAAGTATTGTACTATCAAATCCATTACTGTATTTCGGACATTGATATCATGTTTTTTGTTTTTGTTATTTTTTTTCAAGGGAGGGGGGGGGGGCAGTCAGAGAGATTTCAAGGTAATACAAATTGTTGGTCAATGTAAAGAGATTTGATTTTTACAAAATTCCCTCTGGCAATCGAGATGATTATAAAAATGTGTAGATACTTAGCACGCTAAGTCAAAAAAAAAAAATTTATGCACATTTGTATATGGAATATATGTACACCTGAAATAATCCTATTCTAATTGTTTCATATCATTTTTTTTTCATTCACCCGAATCAGATATCGCTGATTGTTCTCCTAATCCTTGTATGAATGGCGGAAGTTGTACTGATGGAGTTAACACATTTACCTGTGTCTGTGCTGATGGCTTTAGTGGAGATACTTGCACAATAAGTAAATAATCTTTATTCTTTACCTGAACAGTTGTTGTTTATTTTATTAATATGATAGTAGGTAATTTCATTTTGTAAACCGAGACATGACCATGACAATCAAAGCCAAGATCATTTTCGCTATCAATAATTTCTACATGTGGGACAGCAGTTCAGATTTTATTTAAACACATTTGTGGCTTACACCCAGTTAATAAGATCGATTGATCGATCTGTATTGAAAAGCAAGTCAGAAAAATCTTGGAACCACCGGGACTTGAACCTGCATCTACTGCTTGCCTGGCAGTGACTCTACCACCAGGCCATCACGGGTGTTGAGCCACAAATATGTTTAAATATTTGAAATTTCTCCCAGAAAGCATTACATTTATAAAAGTTTAGATTTTGTTTTGACTTTATTCATACATGGATCTAAAACTCGGCTTGTGAAGATCACAAAGGTGTCTAAAATTATACTTTTTTAAAAAAAATATCATGCCTTAGTCTATATTGCATTAAAGGAACTTGGTAACACTGTTCAGATTGGAGAAAATGACTCTAAGGTAGTTCAATGCTAGATGTTCAATTAAAGATAATCTAAAAATTTGAGTGAAAGCAGACCATTATTAATGATATAAATTTGGAAAAACTGATCTGATCGAATCGTTATTTCTCCCAACTACATTATTAAAATTCAATAACATTTAAGGTGAATGAAAATCGTCACAAAGCAATTAATTGGCTCTATATACCATTCCAGACATTCAAGTGTTGAAAGATTTTAAAAATCCTGTTTTATGTTTTATTATCATGGAAAAATGGTTGGGAATTTTTTTTTTTAATGGTTGGGAGAATTTACTGTTTTACATGGTGTCGAACAGTGATGCCTTTAAAGAAAACCATAAATATCTTTGTTGTTTGATAAATTTTTCAGGATTTTGTGCATGTTAGAGGGTTAGTACAGTAAAAGGAATATAATAAGTAACATTTCATATACAAATTACGCAGTTTCTTCATCAATCTTCAACAATGTTACAGAGTCACTTTAAAAGACTACCGTATTCATTTATTCACAGACTCTTGATTTGAAGATTCCAGTTTTCTCTAAGATTATGAAATATCTTGGATTTCCTTTTTTCTCAAACATGTGTCATGTACATACTTTTAAGTTACTTTTATAGCAGTTAGGTTTCCTTTTTGTTAGGTTTTTGTTAGGTTCACTTTCTAATTTAAAGAAAACAATGTAGACTTTGTATTTGGACAATTGAGTACAGGTCCTCACAAAGTGTTATGCCTTCGCCCTTGAGTGTTGTAGCCACATTACTACGACATCCTCTAATGTGCTTTAGGATCTGAATCATTTATCGTTTATCTTCTTTATTTCCAGCTGATTGTGGCAACATTGTTTGCCAGAATAGCGGAACATGTGTAAGCTCTGGACTATGTGAATGTGTTACTGGTTTTACCGGTACTATGTGCGAGACTAGTAAGTACCCCCCCCCCCCCCAAAAAAAAAAAAGAAAAAAAAAAAAGAAGAAAATAAGTAAATAATAATAATTATTAGAACATAAATACAATTAAGAAATGCATAAATGAATTGAGTATTCACTTATATAAATAAATACTGAAAATTTCAATTTAATATCTGATAGGCATGTACTTATCAATGATAAGGCTTTCGGACATGATCGAATCCTGTAATATGTTGCCATTTTCGTAATCAAATCAGTTTTTCCTTTCACACCATTAAGTTCTTTAACTCAAATGGAAAACCAACCTTGATAGCAATCTGCTCTAGAGAAATGCAAGAGAAACAGAAAAGTAGACTGGTGAAATTTGAATGAAATCAGACAAAACATGAGAAAGTTGTAATTTGTTAAAAGTTGTAATCACTGTAAATATAGCATCTTCAAATTGGCTGAATTGGTACAATTTTCCTATTTCTTCCATTTGCACACAGAATTACACAAATTCAGATTTCGATAAAATCTATGACTCAGTGGCTAATTTCTCTTTAGAAGACCTACATGTATACAAATATGCTACTAATACGCTTTGGAAAAAAAGAGAAATTTATGATTTTTTTTTGTTCATGACAAACGGGAGAATTAACCGTCACAATCCACTGACTAATTGCTACTTTGATATTTGCACGGATGTGGTGATTTAGTATTTCAAACATTCATAACTGTCTAATTATTGATCCGATTTCTTTCAAACTTTTGTTTATCTTATTATTCTGTTTCATGCACATGAAATTGTTACAAGGGATGTTGTTGTTTATTTGTTTTTATTTTTATTTTTTAAAAATAATTTTTAACAAAGTCTTTGAATTCGTCTTCGCTACTGATAGATTATTCTTAGTGTGCCTTAAATCTGTATCTAGTACATGTATATAGAACTTAGCAATTAATTGGTCCATAACTTTAATATTTAATCCTATTATTGTCTAGGCCTACAGGGCCAATGTGGAGAGCAGTTTTGTAAATTACAATGCCACTTTATTAGAATGAAATTTCAAATGCAAAATAAAGAAATAAAGATTATTATAGTTTCATTTAGGTGAAACATTAAGTCAATAGAATGTCAATGGCTTATGGTTGATAATTCATCTTTTTTTTTTTTCATTTTAAGACATTCATGAACCGGTGATTTCTATGCTATGCAAAGTTTGGTCATTGATTAATAAATTCAACCATCAGATATCAACGATTGTCTTCCCAATCCTTGTATGAATGGAGGAAGTTGTACTGATGGGATTGACTCGTTCACTTGTTCCTGTGTTGCTAGCTATACCGGGAGTATGTGTCAAACAGGTAAGCTAAATTATACCATTTTCTCACCGTCATAAAAACAGGAAATGGTTATATTTTATTTCTTTTTTTGGGTGGAGGCAAATAAGATGAAAACTCTTAAATAAAAGACTTAATTCTTAGCCTAGATTACGAACATGTTTTAAACATATTCGTAATCTAGGCTAAAAGTAGAGTCTGAACGTTGTAACGTTTCAGATACTTGTTTTTGATTTTCTTTTCATTTAATCTAATACCACGATCTCAAAGACTTCAAAAATATCATCTACCTTTTCCTACTCACTAATAGTTTTTTGCAAAATGCAATCTCATGTCCAAAACTCAACCATTTAAAAGGCCCATGACATCGAAACAGCGCTCAAAATACACGGGGGCGGTGGGCGATTCGCCCCCGTGAGCTACATAATCGCCCCCGTCAGGTTGCTCACGGGGGCGATTGCAAAATTAAAAATCGCCCCCGTGGAATTATAAAATAAAGATTATCTTTTCTGTCGTAACTTTAACACAATATTGAGTTTCAATTCACAAACCTTAAACCAATGAAATTGAACTTAGATTAGCGTGCAAGATTTCTCGTTCTATGAGTAGGCCTATTATTACCGATTCAGCTCGCAGTGCTGTGCCGCCGTCAGCAGTGGTTATAGGCCTACTACGCCGTTAGTAACGGTACGTGTGCACGCTGCCGCGCCATGTCTGCTGGAGCTATGGAGGCAATCGCGCAAGGGCAGAAACATGGTCATGGAGAAGTTTTTCGTTGTGAAAGCGTAAACCCGCTGAAATCTGGTGATTTCAAATGACCAGCAAATAATGAACCTCGACCAGTAAATCAATATTAGGGACTTTTAGATTTGCACGATGAGAACGTGGACTGCAACGTGTGACCTCCTTTTAAGGCACTGCCAGTGCTTAAAAGGACGTCACATGTGACTGCCAGTGCCTTAAAAGAACACGTCCACGCAAATCTAAAAAATCTAAAAGTCCCTATTGAGAAAAAGAGGAAGACCAAGATGTCGTGGAATGATATGGTAACATGGGCAAATCTACGGGGGGGGGGGGGGGGGGGAGGACAGGGGTTTTAGGCATTTAATTACGGTCAGAGAAGCACAAATATTTTGATGCCGCATTTGTGTCACTGGCAGGTCAGGGGGGGCGGGCATTTTTTATTTTATTTTTTAAGGTAAAATTTACGTTACTATCTTATTTTTTAACCGGTTTGGGAGGCTGGGGGGGGGGGGGGCTGGCCTGTAGAATCGGCCCGTGGATCCGCGCCTGTCCAAAATAGCACACACACAAAATCGCCTCGCCGCTACGCAGCTCAGTAAAGAAAGAATGTAAAGGTTGCTTCCAATAATGAGGAGGAAATAATGTGCAGAACGAGAAGACATCGAGAGAATGTCGTCACGGGACTAAAGTCAGTAACAGCTATGTAGCTTGTAAATTTGTAAGAGGGAAAATGCTGATTAAAATGATAATGATGAAACAGCAAATAATTGAGGAGTATCATAGGTACCAATTCAATGGATATTTGTATAAAAAAGAGTCCCCGTCAGTACTAAAAGAGCCCCCGTGAGAAGGCTCACGGGGGCTCTTTTTGGGGGGAAGAGCCCCCGTGGACAAAAAATTAATTTGAGCCCTGCATCGAAATACAAGTGTATTTCTGTTGGTGTGCTGTCCTGCATACATCTCATAATTTGATATGTAAACTTCTGAATTTGTTTCATAGATTTTTAAATATTTTTTTAAATATTTGTTTTTCAAACTTGCTAAGCTCCAACCCCAAAAACTTCCAGATCTCATTCCCCTTGTGACATCATCTGTCAGTCATCAATGAGCTAACTTGAGAAAGTGGTATGTATCTTTGCTGAAGTCGACCACCTGTTACAATACGTAATACAATAGCAACATACAAGTTAATAGTATAGTATTAATGACTGCTTTGAGAGAAATAGTTGTTTTATTACGCTCAAGGGAAGGTTAGAATTGTGCTATTCCCCGAGGCTTGCCGAGGGGAATAGCCCAATTGTAACCTTCCCGAGAGCGTATGAAAACAACTATTTCTCGAATATTAAAGCAGTCATTAATACTTTTATATGCCAAAAAAAAAAAAAACTAAAAAATAAAAAATAAATTTTTTTTTTTTTTTGTCGAAGGTGAGAGTCGAACTCTTGCGTACAATGAGTGATGAATCTTACACCAACGCCTTACACCACTCGGCCATCGCGCGCTGTTCACGAGCTTGGCAGTTTTGTACAATATATACATTAAAGTGGATTGAAACCGGCTTCGGCGTGATGAATGCTTCGCAAAAGCACCCTTCTTTTACTTTTGCAATGCATATTGGCACGAACTTAGATCAAGATCTATCGGCAGATGTTGTTTTTTGTTTTTGGAAGTTTATTTTCGTCTTCATGTCAACAATGCAAGATAAAATTGTCGGTAAGATCGATCGAGATTCAATTGTATTGAAATTACCGACCAATCCTTCGCACACATACGGTATCCTCGATCGCTCAAACCATTTTTTTAACATGTAAACCTATGGGGTAACCATGGAGGCTGACCTATTTTTTTAATAACCATGGTTATTAAAAATAGTAAATGTTTTATGCATGGTTACCGGGAATTTTACAGGAACAGTTGAAGTTTATGAATGCAATTCGACCAATCAGATGGCTGGATTTCTTAAGTGAGGTATATAATTATTAATATTATCATTATTATAATTGTTATCATATATTATCATCGTTTATATTATGATAATTATTATCAAAAGTTACTCATCATATTGTTTCAAATTTTCATTTTACCACTTTGCCATAGATGTTAATGAGTGTTTGATTGATACAAGTCTCTGTAGTAATGGAAGATGTGTCAACTTGGATGGATCATACACGTGTGTCTGCAATGCTGGATTCATGTTAGTCAATGCAAATTCTTGCAATGGTATGTCTAAATATAAGTTTTTCTTTTTCAATAAGGAATAATGTAGGTTTAATGACCAACTTTGTAAAATTAAAAAAAATATCGAAAGATAAAAACAAACAAATCAATATCAAGTTCGTTCAGTTTTATGCAAAATTTTATGAAGGAATAGTTCATCATCCAAATAGCATTTTGATATAGTTTTTTTTCTTGTGATTTCATAGTTACATATTCAAAAGTGTGTAACAAATTTTCAAATGAAAAAAATAAAGTGAAAAGCATTCAAATTCACACCAGACGAAATGTGGTAGAAATTTGGCCATTCAATTGGTTAGGGCATGAATAATGTACCCGGTAGGTGTTAGCTGTACATATATGAAAATTACTTGATACATTCCTTATAAATCATCTGACGAGAATGGTATTGTATATATTGTACATTTTCCATCTGTAGTCTCCTTATGACAATCTTGTTCCATGAGAATACAAAACCGAATGTATTAATGATTTTTTGCCTGGAGGAAACACATTGAAGTATCCATAAATATATTGGCTTCATGTCATTGTTTTTTATATTTTTTTAATGTATATCCAGCTCTCCCAAGCAGTCTGTCCACTAGTCAAGTGACTGTGAAGATCACAGGACAAAGTCTGAATGGTGTACCCCTGACGTATACATCAGAATTAACAAATAGGACATCGACCAAATTCATGGAATATGAAGTTGCATTCTGTTACATTGTAAGTATATCTTTCTTCACCAGTAAATGCGAGAAAACTGACGACAATTTTTTAGACGCAGATATGTGGTGCTTCTTCAGCTTGCAAATCCAACACACTACATCATCACCATATATCACATTAAGATGTCTATACAAATGTCAGGTAGTGCAGTAGTCTACTGAAACTTGGTAATAAAGTGTTGGTTCCTCCTGAACAAATGCTACTTGTAGATCCATGAAATAAAAGAGAATATACTTGTAGTCCTTTCTTTATGCCTCCGCCACTGAAGATGGTGCAGAAGACATTGTTTTTATCGTCTTGCCAGTTCGTCCTCCGTTCATCCCATTTGAACAAAACTCAGATGAAATATGTACAAGTATGAGTATGAAAAGTTGAACTGACTATATTTTTGGTGTTAAAACTTGAAGGTCAAATGTCACAGGCTCATAAATGTGTTTTCAAATACCAAAAATATATCTTGTTTACGCAATAACTTGAAAATGCTTTGAAGCAATTCACACCATACTTGGATGAAGTGTGCATGAACATTCAAGGATGAACTGATTGGATCTTGGGTGAGAGATGTCAAAAGTCAAAGGTCACATGGTCATGAAAGCGTTAAACTTACCAGAAAATATATCTTCACTGCAATAATGGGTTGATGTCAAAGTCAGAGGAACATTCATATAGACAGAGGTATATTGGAGAAGTAAGAGGAGACACTCTACTGCTATGGGTTATTAGTGTTGTATTTCTGATCATTTTGTTGTTTCCAGAACCTCATAGTTTACATCAATTTGTGTGCACTACATAATCACCCTGTATCTATTGATTTTTCAGTGCATGACTGGAACTGAACTTTATCTTTGAAAAAAAAGGAAATATATTTACATGAACTACATATGTATACAAGCATACTCTGATTCTGGCTTTCTCTACTTTCTCATTTATCAGTTCAGCCAATACGTAAGGGAACAGTTAGGTTCTCAACTTGTTGATGCTAATTGCATAGTGCTGTCATTCAGCCAAGGTAGCGTAGTCGGTGACGTGCAAGTGGAACTTGCTGCTGAGAGCCAAAGTGTAGCAGATGGGCTTGCTGTGAGTTTATCTGCCTTATCTACCAACATTGATCAAAACTTATCAGCTAATGGTCAAACTCTGGTAGCATCTATATCGGCAGAAGGTAAGAGTAAAATCCAGGCTTTTTTCACCAGCCATTCTTCTCTTAAGACACCTTACAAGAGGATATTATCTTTTTAGTTGTCAAAACAAATAATGTTGTTGTTTGTGACTTGGTATCTTGACATGAGTTCAGCTGTCTGCAATGTATAAAGAGCCACCTTCGCAAATGACAGGCAATGCCAGAGGACACAATCACAGGTCAATTTCAGATACTTTTTGCATTAGAAATTTATAGTATACCGGTAGCCTTGCAAATGTTAAAAGTTTGTGATTTTAATTTGACGGTCCTTAATTATTTGCAAAATCATATCTAAGATTAACTGGTAATGAACTCTAGATCACTAAGGGCTAGAGTGAGTATCTGATGCAACCAAGGGATAAGATGTTGTGTTCAAGATACACTCGAACATACAGCAAATAGTGTTTGTTTTTAAAATTTGTTTGTGACAAATAATTCTTGAAATTATGATATCTTGGAGTGACTTGCATTTGAACCAATTGTTATGTCATACAATATCGAATCAAAGATGGTTCTGTAGTAATACCAAGGCAAGAAAAGGCATGGTGCTGGTGCACATGGTGTTTGACATTGTCCAATCCATGGGATTCGACCCCTGTGCAGTCAACCGTGAAGAGATGCCCAACAAAAATGGTACTAAAATAAGCTGGAGGAATGACGCTACTTATCATATTCTGTACTTATAGTTCTATAGATTAGGCAATTTCAAAAATTGCACACATCTAGCTGTCAAAGCACATGTAGTATTCAGTAGACTGTATTATTATTATTACTATTTGTTCATATTAGAGTAGTTATGGAGTTCTTGTGTTTTCTACTGTTTATACCTTGTCAATAAATAACGATAAAATAAGTTGGTCAGTTATCTGAAGTAATTTGAATCATTCATATATCTTTGAAATGAACAGTTCAGTGCGATCAAACGAACTGCCAGAACGGTGGGACATGTACTTCTGCTGGACAGCCTTGTAATTGCCCAGCTGGTTTTACAGGAGACCTTTGCCAGGATGGTAAGTTGTGTAATTAGTCATTTTTAGTGTGCTTATGCTCCCTCTCACTCATTCTCCCTAGGCGTACACGTTTATATATATATATATATATGGTTTTATATACAGTTTCACAAGAAATGGATGTGAGGGTACTCTCTTTTCTTTGCGTACATGTACATGTATATTTGTTTGATCATGTTTTTCCTAATCTCATATCTGATACATTTATTTTGCAGCTCCTCAAGGATTGTCGAATGGAGCCATCATTGGTATTGCTCTCGGAGTTTTTGGTTTTGTTCTCGTCCTCATAACCTGTGTCTGCTGCGTTTTCGTACAAGGTGTCAGACGAAATCAAGCAACAAAACTGATGCTCGCGTGAGTATTACAATACATTTACAAATGAACGAGCTCAAGCTATTACTGACCACATCTACATGTATGATTTCAATATATATGACGACTGTAGTAACAAGATAATAGCTCTAGAGCTTGAATTGGATAACACATTACATTAAATGGTAGTTTTATGTTGACACAATTCAATAATACTTCGTTAAGTATGGGACCTATATATGTATTTTTGACTTGCCTTAGATGTATCTAAGGCAAAACAAAACAAACAAACCATTCTTTTATTACGAGCATACCAAAACTCTTTGTATATATGTTTATACATGTTCTTACTTATTGTTTATTGCTGTTATGAATTTATGTTCAATATTTTGTTATTAATATTATTATCATATCTATATTTGTTAAACTATAATGTACATCATTATGTTTAACAGGGCCTCATGGAAGACCACCATTACTGGTGATAATGAGTCACCTTGTCTAAATATCAGAAATAAATAATTAAATATATAAATCTAGAGGTGCCTTGCCAAGTGATATTTAACTTTTCTTGACATGTTGTATGAATGCTATTAAGAAAGTGTCTATCAAACTATCTATAAATCTGCTGCCTATTTGTACATATCTCTATCTACCTGTCTACATTTATTTATATAATTATAAACCTTTGTCCACCTTTCTATCCATCTGCATACCTGTTTTTCTATCTATCAATCTGTCCCACTCTGTGTAACCACAGATCTCTCTTGATTCTCTTTGAGATGCAGAGAACCACTTGATTGGACCATCACAGTTCTTAGTGATGGTCTTCTGTCTCAACACATTTTGTAAATTTTGTGATGCTATTACTCACAATGTTTATAACACTGGCAGGAATTGATTCCTTGAAGTGCTTGAGTAACGTATGGCATAATAATCGGGAGCGCCAGGAGTGTCACGTATGAGAGACATGAGCGCTATACAAGAACCCACTATTATTATTATTATTATTATTATTATTACTTATAACAAAAATATATAACAATGTTTTTTTTTTTTTTTTTTTTTCAGTGAAGAACGGTATGTCGATTCGAGCAGACAAAATAGAGGCTTCTACGGAAACAAATCTTTCAATGGTTCTGAGGAGTACGATTCTCTTGAAGGACGCCGGTATGCAGTTGGTCAAGCTTTGGATCGACTGCGCGGAACTGATGCACAGGTATAAACGGTTTCCTTGTCCATGTGTTTAAAGGGATAGTTGAGTTCTGTTTTCAGACAGCAAATGCCTTTAAAGTGCATGGTTATTGCTCTTATTCTTATCTATGACATTTATAGTGCCCTTTTAGAACCTAAAATTGCTATGAAGATAATTTTAGATCCCAAAATGTGTGAAATTTAGCCAATATGATCATACCAATTCAGCTCCACTTTCCAAAAAACACGGTGACCGTTAATTAATTATTTCATTCAAAATAACAATACATGAGCCGGCTAATTGTGGGTAATATAAGCAACACGAAAATGCCAACAAAAAAACCAACATCGGTATGTATATGAAATATGACATAAAAGGCGTTATTTCATTTTTTTGCACGTTTTTTTCAAGTTTTTTTACACAAGTATTAGAAATCGTTATATTTCAGCCGTCTCTGAACCGATTTTGATCAAACAAAGATGATTTTGTCATTTAAATATTATGTTCTTTCAAATTTGACACTCAGTTTTTCATTATCTTACAAAAAATATTTTTGTGTAGCGCCCTCTGCAACAGAACTTAACTCCCTTTAACGCTATATACCACACAAATAATCTCCCTCTTCAACATATATTTATCATGTAATAGATATACCAAAGGCTTTTCATAATTTACAAAATAGCTGAACATTGTAGTTTTCACACACCTGCACATACATCACTTGTATAGGAAATGTATTACCATCCTTACAACACCATACTTGCCTCCTTTAAACGATGTCATGCATGATATTTATCGAGAAATGAAAATGTGTTTCAATTTAGTTTCTTACATTTATATTCCTCATTTGTTTACTACTGTTTCATATTCATAGAGAGAAGCCAGAAGTGTTCCTATACAAAATATGCAATTTTCTCAAAACAATTATAGTAATTGCTTAATGTTTAGAATGCATGATGGTGGGGCAATGTGTGCTTGAAATTAAATGATTCTTTATGCAACATATACAATGAATTTGACCCCGACACAGCAAGGATTATCAACATAACAACAAATAGTGAAAACAAAACAACCAACAAAATCATCAAGGCGTGGATGGTGAATGTGCACCGCCCCCCCCCCATCCTGTACTTAACCTCCAGGACATATACCACTGCTTGAAATACCCACGTAGATATCAAAATCTGAATGTCAGTAAGGAATTATATTCAGCTTGACAATGAATGTTCACATTGAATAGACCATTTTACTAACTATTTCAATTTATACACATTTCTTCTCCCCATTACCAGCCATTCCGTTCACCTGCTAATAATTGCATCTCTATGAATGGGATACACTTTGCTTACATTATTTCGTGCTATGTTGGTAAATCCTCTGGCAAGTTTTTGAGTAGTCAAGAAAAACATTTGTTTAAAAAGTATGCATACAATTGATAAACAGGTCTAGTGAATGTTTTTTTTTTTTTTTTTATTGTTCAAGATACAACTAGATTCTTGATTATCTGTTTTTAATCAGTATACTTTTCAATTTAATGATTTTATAGATTATGTTTTGATAGAAAAAGAAATTATCAAGTCTTTTATTATTGTTTGTCTTCCCAACAGCATCATGGAGATCGCAATTTCAGGACTCCCTATGTGGTAGATGGGAGTGAAACGGTATGTAGAAGATTATTTGCATTTGACAATGCTCTGCATTCGTAGTGTCATTTATCAGGAGAGTTTGGCCAACCATATTTGAGTTGGGCGAACCATTTATGAGTTTGGCAAAGCATTGCAAATACTGCTATGATGGGCAGACACCTAACAAAGATACACCATGTTCTGACCAACTGAAATCAAGCTGGTCAAACTCTTGTGTATATGGCTCTGAGTTCATGTAATACGGTATGCCACCTATCAGATGTCATGGGCCAATTTATGACTTCTGGGCTAGACATAAAATCTGAGCTCTCTCGGCGGTATTGTTGCGTGGCCTTTTCACCCACTGTTTGTGGACATTTGATGCATACAGAGTCATCGAATGAAGAACTTTGGAACGTGTCAACTCCTTTCTCCCAAGAACTATACAAGATTGGCATAAGTTACCCCTTTAAATTGGTGGGAAAGTTAATCTGCCCTTTCAAAATTCTTTATATGTATTATTTAATGTTAATTTAAGTAATGATAACGATCTTGGTTTGTAATAGGGCTTGATACATTGGCCATGTCTCAAAGCACTTTATTGTTATAGTATTACCATTTGTCATTGGATTTAGGCTTGCCTGCACACAATGCATGCAAATGTAGGCACATTCTCCTGAGGTACCAACAGCCCAGCCAAGTGCCATTTTACAGAAAACCACAATGCTAAGCAAACTGCAGTGACTTTCGCATCATGCCTGGTACCCATTTAATACCTGAGTAGAGATTAGTAATTGTGGATTAATTCCAGTCAAAGGACATTATTGTTTGGCTTGGATTCGAACCCTCAACCCTTGGATTAAAAGTCAAGTGAATGGACCACTATACCACGACACCTCCACTTTGACCGTCTTAGGAAAATGAACCATTCCCAGTCTTAATATACTGGAATTACTTAGATAAACATGTGTAATTATGGTATTTTGCAATGCTTGTCATGTCACATTTGTGTCTTTTCTTAAACCCCTCATTTATTATTTATATTTTAGAGTGTTCTTATCACCAGAAAATAAATTGTTTTATATGTTACTAGTTCCATGTTGTATCACTTGATTCCAAATATGAGTTTTAGAGATATTACTTTAAATATTTTAACTTAAATTATTATAACACTCTCAATTGTTATACAAGAAACTTGTGAGTAGACTATGGAGTATGCAGTGCACCCTCAGCACTCGCTTCTGATAGGGCTCACACGGAACCGAAGTCCAACTTGGGTTCCACATGCACTGTTTTATATCCTTACCTTTTAACCGTGAATCCATTAGATGCCTGGTTAAATGTTGAAGTTTGATTTATTAATTCTAGCAATACATAACTTATTTGTGTTAAGTGATTGGTACACTTTAATACCAAAGGATATGTATTTTCTTTCAAACTTTGATTTTCTGTTTTGTTCTACTCTTCTTTATTACAGTACAACGGTGTGGAGCGAAATCCAATGCATTATTGATCACCAAGAAACTTACCTTCGGACAAAGAACGAATATGACAACAGAAAAGAATTTAGTGAATTAGTTACGTCTTATAGATAGATGGGTTCTCTTCTGGATAGGCTAAATATCAAAGTGTATACAATCATATTATTAGATTAAGTAAGGGCATACTTGCATTTGATAGATTGACTGATTTAATTGATGAAATCATTCCAAGTCTCTGTTACAAACAACCATACTATTTTATCAATTAACAGCTTACTTGCATTTGACCGATTGGCTGATTGAACTGATGTAATCATGTTAAACTCACATCATTTTAAAAAGACTGCTTTTCAGCAAGTCTGTGTTACAAACATAAAACTGATGTTATACAGATCAAATTGGATATAAGTACATGAATGATTTCAATGTAATTTACTGTATCTGTGAATATATAAGGGCTTCATTGTTAATCTAGAAATGGTTTGATATCATATCTTTATTGATCAAGTAATTTATATTCATGTTACAACAAATTATAAAAATGTGGTAAAAAATGATTTCACCCAAACTGTTATCTAAAGAGCCAATTCCTATCACATGCTTTTAACGTGTACCAATTGTAAGTCTTTAAATAGTACTAATTTTCTATAGTTTTATTTCAATTGCTTATGGTAGCGGGAGTATAACACCTCCTCTCTCTCTTTCTCTCTCTCTCTTTCTCTCTCTCTCTCTCTCTCTCTCTGTCTCTCTCTATATATATATATATTAGATGAATACACTATTTAGCATTCTGATTTTGTATGAATAGATTTAAATGCATATGATGTAGAAAGGAGGGCTATCAAGTAAACAGAATAGTATGATCACATGGGATCAATCCATGGCGCTGAAACAGTACAAACAGTAATTTTGAATCTTTCCTTTATGAATATAAATAACATTATTTACCTCTTGTACTTTTACCTGTGACATTTTTGCCAGGCAACAAAGTAACCCCCTTGATAGGCTAAATATCAAAGGGTATACAATCATACTATTATATTAATTAAGGGCTTACGGTATTTGCATTTAACCGATTGACTGAATAAATTGATGTAATCATGCTAAGTCTCTGTTACAAACGATCATACTATTATACTAATTAAGGTTTACTCAAATCAGTCTAAAAATACTGCTTGTCAGCAAGTCTTTGTTAAAAACATAAAACTAATGATATAGAAATATTTGAAGATAAATATAAAAAAGAATTGAATACGATTGTCTGTATCTGTGAGTGTACAAGGGCTGCATTGTTAATCAGGATGGGTTCGATATCATATATGTATTGATCAAGTAATTTATATTTATCTCACAAAACATCATGAATGTGGTAACATATGCTTTCTCCTTAACTGTTATCTAAATAGCTGATTCCTATCTCATGCTCTTAATGCGGATCAATTTTAAGACTTTAAATAGTACAAATTTTCTATATATTTATTTCAAATGCTTATGTTAGCGGGGAGTATACCATCCCTCTCTTTCTCTCTCTCTTTATATATCTATTAGATGAATACTCTTTTTAATTGATATGGTTTTGTATAAATAGATTTATTTGCAAATTGTGTAGAAAAGGGCTATCAAGTACCCAGAATAATGTGATCATATAGGGTAAAAACATAGCACTAAAACAATACAAACAGTAACTTTAAATATTTCCATTATGAATAAAAAACAATATTTTTTACCTCGTGCACTTGTACTTGTGACATTTTTGTCACATACCAAAGTTACCCCCCCCCCCCACCACCAGGAATATTTTGTATCCCACTTACTTCCCTTTCAATTAAAGGATTGTGTAACAAGGACTTGTTTGTTTAGTTAATTAATAAAGGTTATGCAGATTAAATGAAGATTAAGGGAAGTGTAACCAAAACTTTCTCGTAGGTCCTTTCTCTTGTTTAGGAACGTGTCGCTTTAATAAAGATGTAGAAATGAATTGGGTTGAAAAAGAAAAAAAATACATGAATGTATGTATGATGTATTGAAACAAAGCAGGCTTACAATGGATGTGTCATGTAGCACAATGCAAGTAAATTTATTAACGCACACATACTTTCTTTTGTCTCATTGCCATTTTAAAATATGTTTCTAAATATGTAATATATCTTTTGTGTAATTTCTATATTCATGTTCCTCCAAAGCCATTCATTATACAGTACTAGGATATTACCCCTTATAAGTCTTTCATGTTTCAAGGATGTATGTTTTTTAATTTTTTATATATATTTCTGTTCGTATGATATATTTTTGTATTGATATATATTTTTCATTAGAGATCACGAGTAATTGAAATAAATGTTCCAATAGGGAAGACTGCTGAATAGTTATTTGAGTCCATGTGTGATTCATACAGTACATGTTTTCAATACAGACAATTTAAGACGTGTGTAAACTATTATTATTATAATTATTATCATCATCATCAACAGTTATTATTTAATACCAGGATTGTTGTTATCAAAATTCTCACTATATATTATTATCAACATCATTGTTATTATTATTACGATGAAAATAAGAGATATAAAGTAACGATTGCTTTATTACTAATCATAAAATAGTTCATGAATACATGAGTCATTCAAGGAGAAGTGGGAATTGTATAGAATATGAGAAAGAAACAAGGGAAAGGTGTATAAAAGAGACGGATTAAAGTATAAACACAACATATTACAGGAGAGAGAGAGAGAGACTTCTGAAACAATTTCAATCACAGAATATCGAGAAGGAAAAAAAAATGAAGAAGCCAGGAGGAGATCGAGACTTTGTTTGAAAATATGTAACGATTCCATTGTTTCTATCACGTTGACCTGTAAAGCCACTATTTTAGTTCGTGTCTGTATAGCACAAATACGGTTTTGCAGTGTATAGGCATCTTATTCTGTCTCCATCCCCTGTTTTTCTTGCCTGGCGAGATGCGTCTATAGCTAACACATCTCGCCGCATTCTACTGGCGAGATGTGTCTCCCAGATCAGCGAGATGAGTCTACGATTGACGAATAGTTTCCACTGGCCGAGTGTCCACTGGCCGAAATGCTTTACTTTCGTGACCCATCTCAAGGAACTATACATGTGTTAATGCGATATTGTCTAAACATATATTTATTAACAATCCTGAAATTTGTCAAGCTAAAAACTTGCACATTATTACAGCACGACGATCTCTCTCTCTTTTTCTTGTTTTCTCTCTTTTTATCCCCCTCCCTCTTCTTCCTCTCCCTTTCTCTCTCTCTCTCCCTCCCTCCATCTCTTCTTTCTCTCTCATTCTCTCCCTTCCTCTCCCTTTCTCTCTCCCTTTCTTTTGTTTTCTCTCTTTTTATTCCCCTCCCTCTTCTTCCTCTCCCTTTTTCTCTCTCTCTCTCTCTCTCTCCCTCCCTCCATCTCTTCTTTCTCTCCCTTCCTCTCCATTTCTCTCCCTTTCTCTCTCCCTTTCTTTTGTTTTCTCTCTTTTTATTCCCCTCCCTCTTCTTCCTCTCCCTTTCTCTCTCTCTCTCTCTCTCTCTCTCTCTCCCTCCCTCCATCTCTTCTTTCTCTCTCTTTCTCTCCCTTCCTCTCCATTTCTCTCTCTCTTTCTTTTGTTTTCTCTCTTTTTATCCCCCTCCCTCTTCTTCCTCTCCCTTTCTCTCTCCCTCCCTCCATCTCTTCTTTCTCTCTCTTTCTCTCCCTTGCTCCTCCTTTCTCTCTCTCTCTCTTTCTTTTGCTTTCTCTCTTTTTATCTCCCTCCCTCTTCTCCCTCCTCCCTTCCTCTCTCCTTCTCTCTCTCTCTCTCTCTCTCTCTCTCAATCTCTTCTTTTTCTCTCCTTCCCTCTCTTTCTCTCTTTTCATTTCTCCATCCCTTTACCATTCTTTTTTTCTCTCTCTTCCTCTCCCTATCTTCCTGTCTCCCTTTTCTCCACTCCCCCTCTCTCTCTCTCTCTCTCTCTCTCCCTCCCCCTCTCTTTTTAAAAAAATCTTTCTTTCTTCTTTCTCCCTTTCTCTCTCTCTCTCTCTCTCTCTCCCACTCTCTCTCTCCTTCCCTCCCTCCCTCCATCTTCCTTTACTCTTTTTCTCAATTTGTCTCTCTCTCTCCATCCCGTCCCTTCTTTTTTTTCCCTCTCTATCAACCCTGTTTTACTGTAATTTATCGCCTTCATCTGAAAGCGTTCATTTTGCTGAAATAGATAGTGGGGTAAGCACATACTAAATAATGTGCAAATGTGTTCACGATGGCCAATTTGTTTTTTACTTTGAGTACTTGAAGAAGAAAAAAAAACGAAACCGAAAATCAATTATTTTTTGCGAACATGAACATAAACAATGAGCTGTGTTAATTTGATTATTTGACTTTTATAAATTAGAATTGACATGCTTTTAACCAGGCGCGCCGGAAGCAGTTTGGGATGGGGGGGGGGGGGGACATTCAAAGGGGGCTCACCATCCAGGGGCAGTGACGTAATGAGCAAAAACATTTGGAAGGGGAGCAAAAGAAAAATCTGCATCACCACTACTCTTTGACGTTTCATGCAGGCCCCGCGGAACTTTTTTCAAAGTGGAGTATTAACGATCAGGTAGAGCGTAAGTTGGCGTGGGGTCCAGGGCCTGAGCCTCAGCAGGGAGTCCAGGGGCTGAGCCCTTGGAAGCCCAGGGTTTTTATGCATTAAATTACTGTGAAATAAGCATATTTTAGATGTACCTTATTTGTGACACTGGCAGGTCACCAATTGGCGGAGAGTCCAGGGAGCAGAGCCCCCGGAAGCTCAGGGGTTTTAATATCTAACTACGGTCAGATGAGCATTCAGAGGCCGCCTAAGGACCCTTGGTGGGGTCCAGGGGGTAGAGCCCCGGAAGTTCAGGGGTTTTCGGTATTTAATCACGGTCAGATCAGCCTCCAGGTGCCGGCCTTAGGGCCCTCGGTGGGGTCCGGGGGCGGTGCCCCCGTAAGCTCAGGGGTTTTAGGCATTTAATTACGGTCAGATGAGCATATTCTGATACTTCATTTGTGACATTGGCAGGTCACTTTTTTTTCTCTCTCTCTCTTTCTTTCTTTTTCCTTGTAACATACTTTTTTCAAAAAGTGAGGGGGGCTCGAGCCCCCGAGCCCAGCCATTTTTGCAGACCATCACATAAAGGCTTCTAAATAAGCATATTTTTCACCCGACTGTAAAGGGAATTTCTAATATTCCAACAAACGCATAAAAAGGTATGACTTACAAACAAATTGAGAAAAAATGCCGGAAAATCATGTCATTTCAGCAACATTTGTAAACCACTGGTATCGAATAAGAAATACCTCCCTTCCCCCATCAGTACGCCAGCACTCAGGGGCTCATGTCTTCTCACCCCTTTAACAAAAAAACAGACACGCTTTCTCATTCTCTCACAATATGTCCACGATATGCGCGTATCGCTATTATAAAAAGTAGGCCTAGCAGTACAGGTATCATTCTGATCCTTATCATATCCTGATTATCTTTTGCAATACGTCTAGACGATAAACTCAAAGACATGACAATTGACAATTTGTCTTTAATCATTGTCTTTAAAGCTTACCATTATATGCATCTAGCTCGAATTTTGCTAAGTTATTTGGTACTGGATGATTTGAATGGTAAACATGAACTTGTGTCCTATTCATTCTAGTCTAATTCATTTGCATTATTTTATTCATTCAAGTTCAAATGTTTCTGACTGTTGTCAAGACAATATGTAGCTTGATATCTCATGGTAATTTTGAGAGAAAAGCAATCCAAGCAACCGTTTCTGAATAATATTGTAGCGACAATCGCGTTCGCCTTTGCTGCTCTTCAATTATACTATGATAAGCAGTATTACTTAATTTCTCAAGGACATGTAATAAATTCGTTTAACAGTCGATTACCCTCGGTTGATTCTTTTGTTCGGATTATTTAGCGGGGAGAGATAGAAGTGAACGGTTTCAAGCTTAATGACGTTGTATTATTATTCTTATTTGTTCATCGTCGTATCTACGATGCTCTTTGAATCAAAAACAGCTTTTATTGTTATAGGCTTCCTGAAAGAAATTTCAATTGTTGTTATTTTTTGGTTGCACTCTGTAGATTATGATGATTTGTTTGAGCCTGTTTTCAATAACAAGATCAAACACATGATGAAAATCTACTGGGTGCATGCCTATAAGTTCTTTACAACAATAAACAAAATTGAGGTGCTATTCCGCGTGGCGTACACGTGGCAATCACATGGTAGATAACAGTATGATCTTCATTACTGGGTCTAATAAATAAAAGAGAACTGAATTTGAACCCGGGCCATATGGGCTACCCCCTCTTGTTCTCTCTCTCTCTCTCTCTTCCTCGTTATCGCCTTACTTTTCCCTCTCTTATACCTCCCTGTGCATGTGTATGCCTCGATAATACAGAAAATAAACAACAAGATTCTTCATCTTACCCTCCTTCTTCCTAGTACATGTAGTAGGAGTAGTATTAGCAGCACTAAGACAATACTAATGACAACAATTATTATTATAACTATTATTACTGTTGGTGGTGTTACTACTGCTATTTTGTAATTATTATAATTGTTATTGTAATAATCATCCTTATACAATGTTTTAGGTGTCAGTTGAATAATCAAATGACAAAACTTCAACATTCCAAACGTTAAAACACATGTTTAAAAAAAAAATATTTTACACATTTGAAGATAGAATTTATCTCGAAAGCAATATAGGTCTGACAACTAGAGAATCCACTTCTCACTATGGGTTGCCTGTCGTGGCAGATTACCCATCCTATCGAGGATTTTACAATGTGGAAATAAACACATATATTTAGTTCAGTTAAATGGGAAAAGCCTTAGATATAACCATGGCATATTTTTAAAAGATTTTCAAATAAAAAAAAAACAATAACACCCCGTTTAAGTGAATGTGTAGTAAGATCATAGCCGGAGGATTTCTTGTCCTTTTTTGCCAGCCATAGTCTACCCAATAAATGACATGTGATGGCGCTACTCATCGACTAAAAAGTTACGACAGAGATATGAAGGTGTCAGAGGCGTCATAACTCCTTAGTCAGGAAGTTGTCGTTGATCTTGGCAAAGAGGGCTTCGTGAAACACGTAGCAGACAAGTTGCTCACTAACTCTGATTTAATCAAGAAGTTAGGCTTATGACGGTTTCTAGGAACGAGCCCCTGCTGCAAGTCAGTTGGATAATGTGGTCAAAAAACGAAACTAGAGGGAAAATAATATAACAATTGCTTACCAACCAAACAAAATAATACATATCTGTCACTGACATTGTAATGCCATTAATATCATGTGATAAAGTGAACTTGGCATTCCGCTCAACAAGTAAAAACCTTAG